ATTAAAGAAGGAAAATCGGAATACCGTCCGGATGGAGAACAGAACAGTTTAAAGGAATGGAGTAATATCTCCCGGTAAAGAAAAGGCGAATTAGATTATCAACTTCATGGTATACCTGAGCAGTGGCTCATATTACTCTAATTCACATTTCAACAAAATGCATTAATTTTCATTCATAACGCTCGATGCAGTAGTAACCCTTGAACTGTGGTATATTATGATCCGTGATTTACATTGATAGTAGTATTTTTCATAAAACGTGTACGAAATACTGTTCTATAAAAATAGTACGAGTAATTTTACTAGTAGTAAGCTGTAATCATGTCACATCTTATCAAGGCGATGATATGTTTTGAATATTAATCATAAAATAAATTATAGTAATGCATTCAGAAGTGGCCATTGTACTTTTTGGAATGTACTGTTATGATATACATATCCAGTACTTACACACGGAAACTGTCCATCATTCATAAAAGTGTATAGGAAATAAGAGGTTTGTAGTAATAGTGCCCGTGACGATACTATTAATGAGGTGGGTCGAGTACCTGGTGGGAAGTTACTTACGTTTTTAAAATTAAATTACTTGTGGCATATGTGTAATAAATACTAAGGCCCCGTCCACACAGCGATATTTTACCGCGGGTTTTCTTTCGAAAAATTCTGTGTCACATAGGATCTATATAGAACTATGTTGAAAAATTATATTAAACAGATTAAAATTATACATTTAAAAATGTTTTATTTCGTTTCCTAATTACAGTTGATGAAAATCTTCGATCAAAATTAGGAACGAAAACATTGGGAAATGATTTTGGTAAAATTTAATTCTTACAACCATGTGTATGTAATAATGTAATTAATTAATAAAGTTATAAATGTAGTATAATAAATAATATTGATAAATGTATGTAATTAATATATAAATAAAACGGTAATAAGTATTTTTGTAATTATATGTGCTTAAATGTCAATCACCAAATACATCTTATACTTATACATATATTATATTACAAGTAAAGATATAATAGCACTACTGTGATTTTATCAAATCATAAAATATTGCGAGTAATATTGTGTCGCACCAAACGCGTGCAACTGATGTACGTGACACTCCTGAATGGGCGTACCGGTTAGTGAGTGCGCGCACGGGTGACTTTTGTCACGGTGACAAAAAAGTTTTGTCGCTGTCATGTCATGTCTGCAAGGTGGAGTGCGCGCACTACGAGTGACAGTGACAAAACTTTTCGCTCCTGTCCGCACAGCGATATTTAATAGCAAGGTTTTTATTCTCGCGTATCATTTTGCTTTCGGAAATACACCTAGTACACACTAAATAAATTTAGACGATTTTTGTTAGTTTAATACAGTTTTCGGCTGAGACGCCCATATCTATACAAATAAATAAAATTAGAGTGTCTGTTTGTAATATTAAAATAACCGCTTTTTACTAAATGCATATGTATATTTACACGGTACATATGTCAAAATAACATTTTTTTGATGTTTTGTCTGTCTGTTTGGTCCGGGTAATCTCTGGAACGGCTGGCTGGCTGATGACATAAGGAGTAACGTAGGATACTTTTTTTAGACTAGCTTCGCCCCGCAGCGTTGCCCGCGGTTATAACAACAAACGCGGGTAACACCGCGGGTCTCAGCTAGTTACTACATAAAAAGCGGCATTGCAAAACTTAGCAAAACGCGGGAATTATATTTCGCAGTGCGGCCATATAGATATCTACTTCCTACTGCACAAAACATTCGGGCGGAAATAAAACGTCGTGTTTAAAAACGTCACCCAGTTGTCGCGTCGCCGCGTGCGCACCCTAATATAAACTCACAGGCTGGATTAGAGTGACATAATAGTCACGGTGACAAAAGTCACCCATGCGCGTAACCCGTGCCCTTAGCAAGCGAAGCCGCCTAGTACTAAAGTAGACATCGCGGGCAGGAGGGGGACGCCGCTCTCCTTCATAGCACGCCCCAGCGTTGCTTCTCTAAGTAGCTAAGTTGACTTTGAGTATTTATTACGATTCTGAAATTAAACTCCGACAAACATTTCGCTGCCGAACGAGTCGTCGAATGTTTCGTTTATGAGTTGATTAACGACAGAACCTTTCAAATAGAAATGATTCGCCGACAGAATGTTTTGTTTATGAGTTTTTCAACGGCAGAACCTTCAAATACGAACAAACCGCCGACAAAACGTTTTATATAAGACCTAATCAACGACAGAACCTTTAAGCTACGAACGTTTCGCCAACAGAACGATTCATTCATGAGTGAATCAACGACATAATCTTACTACCAGTCGCTACTACTAGGACACATTATTATGTATTAGTTCAATGAGAAATGTGCGCCTAGACATTTAAGAAGGTTTTGTGGACATACCACATCATCTTTTTCTGGCTTCGTATACGAATGAATTAAAAGCGTAATAATAATAAAAAATCATTTATTTTCTCACCACATTTGCAGAATAAATTAGAGTTTTACATGTCGCTAGATGATTGTGGGAGAGTGGTGCCTAAACTAGGCGTTAGCCTGTATTTCAGGTCACCAGGCGTTCATTCCCGGTTTAGTTTCTATTTCTTTTTATTTTACAAAATAGATCAGATCTATTTTACAGGGTGATGTCCGGGTTAGCAACACGACGGTGAATTTACACTATATTTATGCTTAAAAACACTTTTGGGGTAAGCTAGGGGTAAGCTTTTGCGCGGGTAAGCTAGTCATTCGTATTTGAAAGGTTCTGTCGTTGAATAACTCATAAACGAAACATTCTGTCGGCAACTCATTCGGCATCGAAATTTTTGTCGTAGTTTAATTTCAGAATAATTTATTACACATATGATTGTGGTTTGTTCGTGAAAAGAAGTTTAGTTGTAGGATGAGTGGATATATAATTTGTGAATAACGTCATTTTCTATGATTACAATTCTTTCTTTAACCCATCTCAGAGGTATAGAAATGCAAAAAATAAAGGGTTAAAAAAAACGGTGGTAAACCCCATTGCCTATAGCAGATAAGGGACCAAGTAACTAGTGGCTCATTTCACGTTGGTGCTACAGTATCAGCACAGAAATAATATTTCTAGGTTCTCAGTAGAAGTTGAAAAAAAAAACATGTTTACCTACCTACTTAATACCTATTTAATATAAATTAAAAGTCAGAGCACAAAAATGGCAAATTTAAATTTATATGCTGCTTACACTAACAGACATTTTTGTAGTGGTGGTAGCGTCTGTATAAACATGTTCAACACTTGTCTCAGCTCCAAAAAAAAATAAGGACAAAATAGTAAATAGTAATCCGATATAAATCCGAAATTACTGTTATAAGCACCATGCTGCTATTACTGTTTACATATTTACATAATGCAGTTAACACAAAAGATGTTTTTAAGTGCATAGGTGTTTTGAAAGAGACAATTATTAAATATTAATGAGTAGTGTGACAAAGTTTCAAATCTTATGGATAATTATGTGTCATAATGATATGAGGAGAATAATAATTTGACTGCACAGATGGTTTGAGTGGTCAGCTCACTGCTTCCTACTGCGCTAAGTGTTGTAGGTTGTATTCCCACATAGGACAACACTTTGTGTGATCCACAAATAATTATTCTTTAGAGTCCACTATATTTCTAGTGTGGGAGTAGTATTTTTAATACTAAAAGGAAAAATTTTTTTTTCAATAATGTGCTCTTATTAGAATACAGAAAGATCTTCTCTTTCCTTTAGTCTTTTGTTACTTACAGACTAACTGTTTTGGATAATCTTTTAAGTGAGTGTAAAAGTTTCCAATATGCCTGAAACATGTAAATCACAAGTGACAAGATCCAATGAGTTTACACTGCCATTGATTTGACATTGCTTATAGTGTGTGAGCACTCAGACATTTGGTATTTACAATAAGTGAATAAATGTAGTGAATAGTGTCCTAGTACTTAACATAATTGACTATTCAATGGAACAGTAGAGATAAATCTCAAAAAGTCTGAAAATTAAATTTTAACTATGGAAAAGGTTTAGTTTTTACCATTTAAAAGCATAAAATATTTTTAAACAATATTGTTCTTACTATTATTGTTTATTTAATGTTTTTTAAGCATAAAAAATAGTTGAACAAAATATAAATACAAAATATATCTACAGGTTACGAAGGCACATTATTTATTTGCCTATCAACATCAAAGAGGATTGTTTAAAAAAGTACCATACATTACTTTAATTCTCTTGTACAGCACAACATAGAATATTTTATACAACATAGACTAGTCATTAGACAATACTAAACTTAGATAAGGATTACCTTATCTAAGTTTATTTTAAATATACAAATTGTTCCAAAAGTTTGCAAGCAATGACTTAAGCTTGATTGATTCATACAATAACTGATTAAGAAAATGAATGATTCACTATGTTAATTAAACTAATGAGCAGCCAAAATTAATATAGACTTACTAAATACTAGATTACTTATTGAAAAATCATATGGAACTGAGAACAGTGTTAAATATATTAATAGAATGTGAAATAACTGTTTTTCAGTTTTATATAAAAATAAAACAATACGTAATATTCTAGTGATAGTTTTACTAGGAATGTTTTCTGTAATAAAACAACTACATTCTAATACAACAGTCCAATTGACTACTAATACTATACTACTAAGTATATTTTTGAGCAGAGAGCATGCTGCTCAGTTCCTCCTATTAACTTTTTTGAAAAGCTTCAATTATGTTTCAAGTTTCAACTATTTCAACAAATGAATGATATAGATATTTTAGGAAGGATATTCTTGTCACAGTGCTGCACTATACATTTAATTATTTTATTTAGGGTAGTATGTAAGTTCTGAAGCGAATGTTGTTGCTACAGCTTGTGAAATAATTGAATTATCTGATGCACACTATGCAATTTGGTAAAATGTTAGGTACAGAATGGACCGAGCGCGATAGATTTGATTTGAATCAACACAATATTTAGTCTTACCGATGACAAAAAGTGTGCTGCCCAGTAAACATAATCCAATTCGGACGCAAACTGCCCTGTTCAAGGTACTTGTCACCCGCCGTGAGAAGTAGCTGATGGGACAGTTCCACCGTTGGTCGGTCGGCTGTTGTTCATAGGTCACCGTTGTAGGCTGATACACTGCACTGGTCGGCATTTTGATACAAAGGAAGTCACGCCGCAAACAAAGACTTTGTCACTGTAACAAGCACTTCACAATGCACGATTCCACACAGGTCAAGCAAGTAAACACAACACAACGAAATAAGCGTGCTACGTGCGTGAGCAACGATTTATTTATGTGCTTTAGTGTTGTGATGTTGTCATTTCCATTTTAATATTTACTAAGGAAACATTAATGTTGTGATTTTTAGTCGAGTAATGAATTGTTGATCAGATAATTGATTAATCATTAAAATGCTGAACTACTGCTGGAAATTACATGCGTTAGGAATGGGATAAAAATAAAACGTAGAAAAACGTAATCGTAATCGTTTTATCGAAAATATAAATTTTCAAAATATCTACTAGAACTAGAGTAAAGTAAATACTTATTGCATTGCATTGGAGTAAAGTATTACTAAGACTAGCAGATTTTCAATTCGCCTTTTGGTCACAATACGATTTAATCAAATAACGGTCAAATACAGTGCAATAAAAGTAATAAAATAATTTATTTATTGTATACCCCGCTCGTAATGATAGGTATTAGTATTAGAAACAAAATGCACTGGGTCTCCTTTTTTAAAAGCAATTAGGCGAAACTTTTTGTCTTGTCTTGTGTACAGTGGGAGAGCCGTGCTAAAGTGTGCCCGGAATACCACTGCCTCACATGAAACCGGTGTAAGGCAATTCTTTCGTGGCGGAGGGAGGCAGATAAAGGGTGGCAACGAACTTGTATCTCTTTAGCAATTTTTACAGTAAACGGGAAAGGTCTATTTTTAATAGTTTCACAAATCTTTTACTTAGAGTAGTAATTTGTAAATTTTAACAAGTTGTAAGGTTTTTTGTAGTTGTTATTTTTTAGGTTATGAGATATGGATACCTGTCCGTCACGACTGAGGGACTATCTTTGACCCATAAAAACTTTTGAGTGGCTACTTTTGTAAACTACATGCTAAATTTACAATTGTTTCAGAACTTTTACTAAAGGCTGAAGCATTCCAAAGCTTGCAATTAGAATGTGGTCACTCATTGAGAACGCACGCCTCCTTTTTCGCAGAAATTGTTTCGTGTCATATTTAGCTCTTGTATTTAATATCAAATATTATTGTTTTAACGAGTATTTACTTGAATGAAACCTATTTCATAGAAACACAATGAACAAACAATGAATTTTAGTCAAATATTTTTATTTCACAAAGTTATCAAACAGTAGAATTATTTTTAAATAATTATTGTTTGTTCGCTGTATTTTTATATGGTACTAGCTGACCCTGCAAACGTTGTTTTGCTATTTACATTATTTAATTATTATTTTTTTAATTTCTTAAAATCCGTTCTTAGCTGACCTCTACTCAGTGAAAAGAATATTCCTACCAAATTTCAAGTCTTTAGCTCTAATGGTTCCAGAGATATCGTGATGAGTGACTATATACGTGGAAATCTCATATATATATATATAGATTCTATTTCAACGAAAATGTAAAAATAAACATTATGCTATCATAATTTTATAAATAAATAAATTACAAATATGTAATAAGATGAATTAATTAGGAGTGAAATAAAACACGAAATATTTGGAAAAATAATGTAATAGTTATACTTTTAAATATTCATTATAACTAATAAATAGTATATATCACTAGACAGTCGCTTTATAATTAGAGTCATTTATTTCAAAGTGTAAAGGCACTGATGCTTAAAACTTACATTTAGTTTACGAGTAAATATTAAGTCACGTTCATATCATTCACCTTTCATATTGTATATGCAATTTATTATAGGGAGTGTATATATTACAAAGAAAAGACGCGACGTACACTTTGATTTTCATCATTGATTTTAAAATAAACTAATGTAAGCACATTTATACAATATAAATAATACAATACATGGCTCATGATGAAAATGATATTTTCATAATAAAGTCTTTAATAAACATTCTATCTTATACACATTTCATACAAACAACGGTTCTTGAATCAAAATGAAAGGGGAGTATCTCGTCATAAATATTAAAATGAATAACTATAATATTTATATTGTCAAATACAAATCTTATGCTTGTATTAACATAATAAGGCACCAAATCATGAGCATTTACCTAATACATTCCGGGCTACCAAAATAATCACAATGAGGTACAACTGTAACACGTCGGCATACTATTCGTTTGTACTGATTTATTAAAATTATATACAAATATACTCTACAAAAATATTCAAATACCTAATTCATTATTATCTATTTTGTACATAAAAATAGAGCTTATGTTATTATGCCTATACTCTAATAATAGAAGATTATCAATGCTGTTGTAATATCATACATAATAATAGCTCGAAAATCATATGGAAGCTCAATAAGTTGCTTCCTTGAAAATGTGTAAATAAATAGATTCTACATATGAGTGTACATATATAAAAAAAAGTTTTATCATTTGAGCTTTATTACAGTTAGCCACAAAGCTTATAAAAGTGCATAAGTTGTGTGCTACTTAGGGGTTATTGAAAAGCTCACTTGTAAGTCGATGCTTATTTAAATACTACTATGTTGGTGTAGTAATTTAGCACTATTAATAATTTAATCTAGAAGTGTTAGTGCTCTAAAATAAAGATTTATTATAACGGTGACCTATTTCTACAGTCGCTAATGACGTGATTATTCTGTAATATAAAGATCCATCTCTCACAAACGAAGCTCATTCCGGTTGAACAATTTTGTCATGAAGTTTCATCTAGAAATCGGTCAGTCTCATTTTAACTGTCTTTATTATTACAACCCAGACTAGTTTTACTACAACCCTCGAGCTTTATCATTATTTACATTCTCACACTCACAAACTGCCAAATAAACATCAGTTTCAATGAACACATTTCGCAATTCATTACCATGAAATCTTCGCTCACATCGCAAGCGAAAAAGAGTGGATTACTCGACTGCGAACCCTGCGGTTTCGAGAACCGCTTGTTTGAGCTTATCGTGCAGTCTCTCCTTGCTCGGGTAAGGAGGTAAATCGAGACGATTGAAACAAGTGTGGGCCTTCGGAAGCGAATCGGGGGCCGCGTCCGCCACGAGGTGGAGCGTGAAGAGGCGGGGCGCCGCCGCGCCCGTGGAGCCCTGCAGCGCGCGGAAGCCGGCCAGCGGCACGCGCCGCGACCCCGTCACGAACTGCAGCAGGCGCGCGCGCATGTCGGCGTCGAACTCCTCCACGATCTCCCAGAACCAGGCCACGATGGGCGCATCGGGCGCCACGTGTTTGAGACGCGTGTGGCGGCGCCAATCGGCCGGGTCGAGGTCGGCGCGCCCGGCCAGCAGCGGCTGCAGGTCCCGCGGCGACAGCGGCCGCAGCAGCTGCGGCGGGATGATGTCGGCCAGGCCACGTTGCAGCGCAAGCCACTGGCGCTCGGCGCCGCGCGTGAAGCGGTGCGCCACGTACAGGCGCACGTACTCGCGCTTGTTGGCGTCCGTCACCACCTCGTTGGCGCCGCCCGGCCGCAGCTCCACGCTGCGGACCGCGCCGAACGACGAGCATTCCACTGAGAAAGTGGTGTCTATCACGCCTGTGATGCTATTTTCACTGTAATTTTCAAGAAGTGGTTATAATACAAAAAAAGGAAACCTTAAATCTAACAAGTATTTTTATTCACAGCTTTAGAAAATAAGTTTTATTCTTCTGATTACACCAATTTTTTTGTCTCACTAATATATCGTCTTTCAATGACTTATCTTTTCGCTCTCTCTCTAAAACTTATTGTTTACAATCACTTTAATATTTATAAAACCAGTCACTATTTTTTAAACTAAAAAATAAATTTAAGTTCCACTATATATTCATTTATCACATGATACAACGTAAAAACATTCATTTTTATACAAAGTAAAATTATAATTATTAAGCAAATATCTGCTGCAAGAGTCAACAAGTATTTAGTCTACTTTTGAGCAGTCTGGATCTCTACGTTAACACACTTAGAACCCCATACCTATACGTTTACGGTTTTTAATAATGGCGGAATTGAACTAGTACAAAAATGAACATCAAGTGCTATGTCAAGGCGCAGCTGAACATGTGCAAAGCTCAAAAGCAACTCTTGACTCAATTTGAATTTGGAAAATGCTGTCTACCATATGACCATGATGAGATAGACAATGAAAATAGAAAATTTCAGAATAATTAAAACTTGACAAAACTGGACTTTCCATAATCATGTTATTGAGTAAGATCATACAGTATTTTTTAGGCCTTTTTATTTTTCAACTTGACTTAAATTAATTTCAATTCCATTACAGCTTAAAAGCATCTTCGGTGTGCTACAACGCCTATTGTTGGGATAAAAATAACCTCAAAAAAGGTACCAATAAAAAATGATACTGTACTTTCACACTATGCACAATGCATGTGTTTAAATGTCAATTATCTTTGCAATTTGACTAGAATAGAATATACCATATTGCAATTTACGAAGACTTTCAAAACCAAGGACTGAATTTAAACCAAATACGCACTTAGAGACGATATTAAAAACTAAAAAACTTACAGCATCCATGAAAGTGAGCGATGGAGTTCAGGGTCCACATCCCGTATGTCGCGCAATGTGATAGGTCTGCCCAACAGCTGTTTGTAGAAGGGCGCCGTGAAGGCAGCGTCGAGCTGGTGCCCGTGGAACAGCGCCACGCCCAAGATTCGCCCCGCGAAGTGGAAGTATGAGAGATGTTCTGGATTCACCTGTGCAGAACACCAACACTTAAACCCATACCCGATTGTGATTAAATATTGAAATAAAACCAATTAAAACATTTTCCTTCGAATCCGTAAAACAAAACACACAATATTTATTCTTACTTTCATATACAATGTGTAAGGTACATCGTACCGAATACTGAAATAGTGTATTCAGACCACGATTCTGAGTCAAAAATCATTGGAACTTTCTGCCAGAAAATTCACCATTTTTTTTCCATTTTTCTGGTTAAATAATGATGAAAAATGATATCAGAATGAGTAGACAGAACATTTTACCGAAAACAATTTAATAAATACCAAAAAACTGCAATGTAATTAATCAAACAGCCGAAGCGCGCGGGGCCTCCACTCCGGCGGCCATTTTGTATTAGTGTGCGTGGACTGTTTGCACGGAATATACATGTAGTTATTACTTTCGTGCGATACCTACGGAAATGACCTTTACCTTTGACAGCTGATTGCATAAAAAGTTTAATTTTCCGGCAGGAAATACCAATGATTATACTAATAATAATAGTGCATGTTGTGTTTATTACAATAATAAATACATTGAGATATTTAATTGCATTATTATTCAGGAGTTTTAAATTGCGTTAAATTGTGTAAATAATATTGAAGCCTTTGTTGACAAAAATTGTCTTAGTCAGCCACCTGTCATTTATGTTTGACTAAAATTTTATTTATTATACAAATCATAAATAAATAAACATTTTTAGTAAAATTAAAATATTTACAACATTTATACAAGCGTTAAAAAATTCCTCCATTGCCGCATACGGGTAGCATTTCCAGAAGGCTAGCAAACACTGCCGAATTGAATGGATCAATGCTAATTCTCTATGCAAGAAAAAAGCCGACTAGGCTCAGCCGATCAGTCACTTAGCTAGTTCTTTATAAATAGAAGGAGCATTCGGACCCCATGACCCTAGACTAGACCATCTTGACACCAGACAATTCAAAAATATAATAGTAATAAAAAAATAAAATAATAATAATAATATTCTACCACATTCACACAACGCCATCTAGTGCCAAACTAAGCAGAGCTTGTACTATGGGTACTAGACAACTGATATAAATACATATATACTTTTTTTTTTCGTAAACACATACATATTATACCCAGACCAAATCAAACATTAAATGTTCATGCACACAAATGTTTGACTTGAGCGGGAATCGAACCATTATTATTAGTAACTACAACATTTTGATATCATTTATATTTTATGGCACATCTCCAAAGCAATCGTACAATAATGAATAAGCAACAAAGTTTGTAATTATGGATGTAAGTATTAGTAAAGCAAGACAAATACAAATGAGATAACAGACCTACTAAATATGGTTATTTCATATTACATGTATTTTGATATGCTCACTAACATTTAAGTTTAAGTTATGCTTATATATTCATTACATCACTTTTAGCATGGTCTGATAGTTTATGTATTTATATAAGAGTTAAACATTATTCTTACTGTGTATGTTGTGGTTTTGTTTTATGTATATTATTCTGCAGATAACAGTGTTATTTGTGGAATTAATTAGTATGTTTTTTAACTTTTTGCTGTCCGAAATAAAATACGAATAAATAAAACATGCTCCAAGCAATGCATTATACGAATACATTTTTATTCTTACAAGAAATCGAGTTTTGGCAGTCAGATTAGTTTTTTGAGCGTAAATAATAAATTATTTTATAAATGGGATTCGTTATTATCAAGCAATCAAAATCTTCAATCTTTTACGGTTTTTTAAAAAGAAATCTACTTACACCAGAATCTGCATTGATCTGTAATGCGTATCGGTCATCTCCCGCGTTCGCATATTGGAAGAGACCATAGTGTGGGTTAAATAATTCTCTGCCTAACAGGTGGAGCCACTCTCGGGCCACTCCTCCGTAGTCCAGTCCTTCTTCACCGCGGAACTTCACTAGCAGTCGTTTTCGCAGCTCCTTGGCTCGTAACTTCATTACGAGCCGGTACGACTCCTCAAGTATTTCATTTCGTGATACCTAGAAGTTGTAATAAATTTACTCCAATAACTGCTAAATAGGCCTATTAGTTAGAAAAGTATTATTTGATGTTTATACACGTAGTCGTTTATAATGACGATTTTATGAAATTACAATTTTCTGCTAAGTCAGTATTTTAGTTTTAAAAATTGTTTAAGTATTTATGCATTTAAATTAAATTTTAAAATTGCATAACTGCATTGCCTTTATTGAACCATCTGTAAAACAATGGAATAATTCAATGGTATGTATTTAGTTTTGTTAACATTGAAGAGTTTAGTAAATACTAGTTCATTTGACACAAAATTCGTTTATCGTTATATACCTAATCATAATATCGTTGAATTTTTCAATATACAATGGGATTAGTTGAGCACTTCGTGCTCAATTAATCCTATTGTATATTGAGAAATTCCCAATGCGATAGGACAATATTGGTACACTTTAACGGGTTTTGAAGCAGCATTCTATTTAAAATTATTTGTTGTTCACAATTTCCTTATGCAAAATTTGTCATCTATCTCTGAAAATAGTTACCTCTACTCTGCAATGTCCCGTCTGGGGTTGCAACGCTTGAAGTTCAGCTCGCAACACTCTCGCTTTGGCCGCTAAGTCGCGTTTGTATTTGGGCAGCGCATCCGAGTCCAGCGGCTCGGGCGGGGCCGGGGCGGCCGGCGCGGCCGTCGGCGCCGCGCTCTCCGCGGGGGCGGGCTAAGGGACATCCGTTCATTACCACTTTTAACTTCACTATGGTCAAACTAATAACGAGTACGGTAACGGTAGAGTCACGTTCCTTCAGCCACATGAACCGGCTCGACCAGAGCGATACCGCAGCCTAACAGGAAACCAGTGTTAAGAAATTCTTTCATTGCTATTCATCGAGGAAAGGAGTACGGCCGACCCAACCATATTTCCTGAGGGACCTAAGTGGCAGCAATGCTCACTAGCTACAGGTGACCGTGGGCGGCGGTAGTCACTTGCGTGGTGACCCGTTTGCCCCCTTTACCAGAAAAAAATGTTATGCAACATTTAACTAATACTTTCGTGTATATTTTAAACTGAAACATGGAAGCGTTCAGCGAAAAAGTAAATCGTAAAAAAAAAAAATACGAGATGACTTGGTTCAATTTTTTTACTAATTATAAACGAATATTATAATCGAATAGAACAGTAAAGGGGTTGGCGTATCCTTCAGATACAATAGAACAGTAAAGAACTCACGAGTCTCACGGACAGGGCGAGCCTGGGGTCGGTGAACTGCGTAGTTTTGTTGTTGTGGTCGACGAAGTAGGGGCGGCCGGAGGGCGCGTGGCGCATCTCCCAGCCGGGCGGCAGCGGGCCCGCCGCCGCGGCGCAGTGGCGCAGGTGCTGCGGCACGCGCGGGTCGTGCCACGTGGACGCGCCCGTCGCGCTGTTGTAGAAGTACACCTGGCCCTGCCCCGTCGTGCGCATCTCTGCAACCACATCGCACCTTCAACTTCACCATAGCCGCTATTTACGTAGAGACGATCATTATTTTGTGAAGTACTTCATTATAAAATCAGGACTCCAGTGATAAAAAATTATCACCCGACTTAAAAGCGAGCGAATGAAAGAAGTCCTAGGAATCGTTGTTAATGAACAATAAAACATTATTATACCGTAACCGGGTGGTAAGTCTGTAGCAGCGATCGGAGTTGAGGGAGAATTGGGTGTCACAGGATTACAATTTTGTGGACTGACAGGTGCCGTGGTAGAGTGCTGACGAGATCGCACCGCCGTTTGAGGCTGGGGCTCTGGTCTGTAAAACGAATGAGATTACGTTTAAGAACATAATAAAAAACAACAATATTTTATAATCATGTTATAAAAATGAATCTAATTTTTATTAGCTGATTGCAATTTTGTCATCCAGAGCCTTAATATTATTACACTTGAAATGTAAATAAGAAGTGAAAATTATTATTCTAACCAGTAACCACTAAGCTAAAAATTTAACAAATTATGAGCAACATGAAACATGAGATGATCAACATTTACAATAACATGTAACTAGATATAACATGTACCTTTTCTCATTTGATAGTCAGTTTAATATTCTAAAGGAAGAACAATTTGGCTTTAAAAAAACAATAGGTTTTCCTAAGCTTGTTTTACTAACTTGTTTTCTAATGAAAAAACGACAATATATCTTTCACATCACTATTCTTGGACATATGAAAGGCTTTTGACTTTGTGGATCACATACCGCTTTTAAACAAACTGTGTTGATAAAAAAATTGTATATATGGTATTAGAGGAAATGCTCTCAAAGGGATAAAAAGTTATTTAACCAATAGACAGCAACGTGTAGAAATTACGAGATCATCTAGACACGAAAAAACTATATAGATCCTTGTATCGTCAAAACAAATGTGATGTACCCCGGGGTAGCATAATGGCTACTTTATATAAATGATCTACAGGAAGTAATTCCACAAAAGTATATTTTATATGCTGATGAGACTACTATCAGTATTAAATCTAAAAAGAAAAATTACTTGGATTGCCAAGAGGAGATCAATTTGACGCTGAATAGTGCTTTCGTGGTTAAAAGTCAAATAACCTACAAATCAATATTAGCAAAACGTAAATGGTCCAATTTCATTCTTATATTGGTAAACTTTCCAAACTGCAAGAACATGCTAATGAGATTATCGAAGAAGTAAACAACACAAAGTTTCTTTAATTGGTAATAATGGACAAAAATAGCAATTGGCTTGATAGATTTGTCATGTTATGCGAATATCTAATAGTGAAACCATGAATGGCCATTCTTTATTTTTAGAAGATAAATTTTACTATGAAAGGATAAATAGTCAAGTATACTGAACTCGACTGAAAAAATATATTTTATATGACTGCATTGGACATAACTGCCAAAAATTTGTAGATTATTGTAATATGTATGTAATAAAAAAAACTACCCTTTACTCTGTGCCCTATATTATAAAATATTGTCTGTGCATGTGGTGTATTTGTTATGACATCAATTAATTTTAGAAGAAAGATTAAGATCAATATTTTTTCTTTTTTTATATTTGACCTAGACCACCAATTCACATGCGATAATTTGCAGCCTGATTCTTTAATTTTTAAATGATAGGTGAACTGATTCCGTACCTTAAAGATATAGAAGTAGCATAATTAACATCTGTGTCCAAAGCTGGTGATAGTGGTGATGATGGAGAAGTGGGTGATGCCGGGGTGGATGGAGTTGCTGCAGGAGTAGGTGAGGTGGGTGGGGACGACACAATTGGAGATGTTGGGGTCGAGCTTTCGCACGCGGGCCGCTCCCACTGTGAGCTACGTGTTATGTGGTTTACGTAGTAAGCTCTGTAATACGAAATAATTTGCATAAAGAATCAATTTTATAGATATCTAAACAATGCATGACTTTAAAGTCATACTCTTTTAAATGTGGTCTCCAGGATAGGAATTGAACCATCAGTTAAACCACTGTTCATAGAAAATTAACCAAAATCAAGCATGCAAAGAATTATTGTTCAACATTAAAAGAGAACTGCTGAACTTCTATGCTTGTCTAACTTAACCTAAAACATTTCAGTTTAAAAAATCTAAAAAACAACTTTTAGTAATAAACCAAATTAAAAAGTAGTTACCTTACCACCTCTTAGGTCCATCAATAGACCATTGTCATTAAACCTAATCTGTTGGACGATCTCCTTTCTAAGGAGAGGCCTATGTCCAGCAGTGGACTAGAAAAGGCTGTTAATGATGATGATGTTGGACGCCAAAGTGAATTATATGAGACCAACCTCAAGAGATTTACTAGTAGCAACTGAACAACTCCTTTATAAGATCAGCTTCCTTTTATTCTATTTTGTAAATAAAAATGTTTTCTACTTTTTAGTTTACTTTGTTCAAAGTTTTTGTCATGTACAATTATTTGTAGGTTCTAACCTGCCCTTAGACGTAAATCGCTCCTCCCAATGCGGAGGTAAATTTGGTCTTGCAGCTTGTGTAGCGGGTACAGGAGGTGGATCTCGCGGTGCACGTACATCTCCAGCAGGTCCCACCACAGCAAGAGGCGAACCTTCACCGGCCGCAGCCGCTGGTTCGCCTCGAGCAGCATCACGTGATACAAGAGAAACGATGACCTGACCCCGTACGCCGCATGCTTCTAAGCCATTGTCCTCGCATAGCTCCAAACATTGGTCTGTGATGATTTAAGTTTTAACTTATTGGTCCATTTCTTGTTACTATTTAGCTCGATCTATACATGTTTTTGCATATTGAAATGTTTAATTAAAGGCCAATGATTATAGAAAGGATGCTGTTGCATAAAGATGCTTGAAGACAATAAGAATAAGGTCTGTACGATTTAACTCGATTAACATTATTTTATTATAACATTAAAAAAGTGCATTTTCGGTCACCATTCCGTTAGGTTGTACTCACACCATCTAACCATACCATTGTAGATTTAGTTAAGTTAATATAAACCAGGTTGGCTTAACTCTATCTTTTATTTTCCCTGTACGGTAACCATAACCCGTACAAGGTCAATTGAGTTTTTTATTATAATTAAAAGATAAAATTAAGTTTAGCTATAAAGAAAATACTAAGAATGTCTGCCATACATAGCAGACATTCTATACATTCAGAACATAATGCACACAGCACCTAATGTTGTGACCTTAGTGTTCATAAATATAACTTACCAGACCACTATATAGAGATAGAAACAATAGAATAAAAAATGGTTGTGCTTACATCCTGTGTCCTTCAATTTGTGTACAGTCGATGGTTGAATTCGCACACAGCCCAAGAATCCAGAGCCTTGTCTTTTGTGAACTTTGCGTTGATTCCATATGCTGTAGTATAAAATAAATTAAAATTATGAAACTTTCTTAAATTTCAGAAAAGAGTTTTCATAGCTTTCCATTCGAATAGTAGCAAAACCCCAAGATATAAATGTGATTAACATGCTCCATAAACGGTAATTTTGGAAAATGAATAAATATCATTTAGTACCTACTTATTATGAAAATTACGGACACAGTGAATATGTTCCATACTTTTTTATTTTTGTTTTCTAAGTTCAAAAAGTCAACTGTAATAGTATTTGACATGCTCACGCTTCACACAACTATATAAACATATGTTTATATCATAGCTAAAAAACATTCATTGTATTGTTTAGTTAGTTTATAATTTAATTTGATTTGACTATTGCTATTTAATTTGACTTTGTTTTTAATGTGTATCAAGTTGTTTAATAATATATGATACATGTCACAGCAGAACTTATTGTCTGCATGTTAATAGAAAAAGTTATATATTTCTACTACTGTTTTTAGTCTCCACTACTTTTTAGACTCCATACAAGAGACTAAATAATAGTAATAGAAAACAAACAAATGATTTTTACAATTATTTTCTGACTGTCTGTTTCTCTGCTTCTTAAAATAAGCTTTTGAAAATAAGCCATTAATATATTAAGACTAAGGAAAAAAAAAGGATTACTGGAGTACTTACTTCACAATATCCAGGTCTGATATGTTAAGCCTATTCTTTCCCTTATAAGTTGCATTTTACAAATAAAATTTATTTTTGTGATTATTAAATTCTTTTCCAAGCATACATCAATGGCAATGCACTTGAATAATTTAGTGAAAGTATGTATTTAGCATGTTAATATCATGTATGCTTGTACTTTATGTTATGCATACTTGTGACATTGCCTGAAGATACTTTCACTTTGGCCTTTCAGTATCTACCATATAATATGTATAAGATAAAAATCATTGGAGATAACTGATACAAATATGGGTCAGTCTCAATACAGATAGAATGTTGTAAACATACCTCCATCTTTATTTAAGTTTTACATGATGATGTTTTAAGCACATTCATTGTTGTTTACATTTTTTTAAATTGCATCATATTTTAATAGGATCTAAACTGTTACAACGATTATTATATGTATATAATGTGAGATGAAGAAATTTGTACTCTCAATATAATAATTTACTGTTTCATAGATCTAGGTCTGCATTGTGCTGACGAAATTAATTATAGCACTAGTTCTTACCTAATTGTAATACCATCTCCTTTAGTCAGATATAAGTCGTAATGTGTATTCCACTTAGGGTCGAGAGTTGCTTTCACAGTATTAGTGGAATACACTTGTCCACTGCCGTCTACGGATATTTTAGCAAAGGGATCTGGCAATCCTGAAAATGTAAATTGTTTTTATATTATAACTTACATAACCATAACAATTTGTTTAGAGACAACATTACTATACCGACTTTAGATGTACTAATTTTCTCATACATTATTTTGATTGTATGTCGTACAGTTCTCACCTTGAAGATAATCTAAACATTTTTACCTACGAACGTAAAAAACATACTCACGGAAATAATCTCTTCTGACCAAATTCCGCGCACATAGAACTAAAAACAACAAAAGGCAGATTTATTATTAGGAATGTAACATACTGGGCAAATAATAATCACACCAACCAAATAGCGGAAATGGTTGGTTCTTAGGACACTCACTAGTTAACCGTATCTTTTGGGCTCCGTATTTGCGGTTGGATACTGGCGTGGACATTTTTAACACATAAGAAGAAACATTGGGATAAATTATTGTCAAATTGATTTTATACGTTTTTCACATAAACTTTTAACCACCATTTTTAATTCACTAAATTCTTGAATGAGAGATCAGCGAATAAGAACTATCTATAAGTGAATGACGGATGAATGAATGAAAAGTAAGATTCATCTGAGTATGGAAATTTTAGAATTTAATTTATAAAATTATTATCGAATCTTAAAAAAAATTAAGATTAAACAGTTTATTTAACTATATTTAAAAAAAAAGGTATACTTTACTGTCCACATATTTTCTATTGCTCACTACAATTCTCTATGGTGGACCTGTCTTACAAATTTCCAACCAATAAATACTATTAGTAAATACAGATGGCATCAGTAGTAGGTATATTAAAAAATAGTCTGTGCCGTGGATATATTATATGTTCTGTGCAGTGAACTGTGTTGTGGTTGTTCTGTGATTGTAAATAAATAGTTGAGAAGAGTAATCTACTTAAATTAATGATCTTAAATATGTGCTGCATTTGAAAGAGCTCTTTAATATTTTAATTTACAACAAAACATTGGTTTGTTAGATATTCCTATATTATTCAATGTTATCATGATGATGATGATTCAAGGTTCTACCTATTTTAAAATATAAACGTAAAAATATTTATTATTAATTTTTATTATATTTTATTAACCTAATTTAATTTACTGCTCAGATTTTGTGAATAATTAACTTTTAAAAACTATTACAGACTTCAGTCATCATCAAAAGCCTTTAATAGTCCACTGCTGGACATAGGCCTCTCCGTAGAAAGCTGGTTTTAACACGCTGCACAGACGGGTTAGTAAAGGGTTTGCTTCAAGTTTTCTTTCTATTTGCAGTGCTGTTGTTGTGCGTAGTTTGCTCCATTAGTCGGCTCTTACGACACCCACGGCATGAAAAAGGGTGGTGACACTCCATATTGTTAATCCATCACCACACAGCCTATAGTGCGCCTGGCCTACATAATAATGTTTGATAAAATGTATTCTTCATTCCTTATTTTAATCCTTAGGTTTAGTTTTATTTCTTCAAATTTGAATGAAACCAAACGAGAATATACCCTCCATAATAACAATAGATTTTTTAAACCACCTAATAAATGATATAACCAACTTGAGAACCTCTTTTTTGAAACCGTTTTTTTTTAAGGACAACTCCCGCATTATGTAGGTATATATCCTGTGTCGCGGGGGATTTTACAAACATACATAAAACGGACACAAAGAACACCCAGACTCAGAACAACAATTTGTGGATCACACAAAGTGTCGTCCCATGTGGGGTTTGAACCCACAACACTCGGCGTAGCAGGAAGCGGCGTGGCGACCGCTTAAACCACTACGCCATCCGTGCAGTTGCACCATCAAATGTATTTTCTGAGGTTGCAGGATGTGTACCCACCTACAATAGTGTTGTAGCGATAACGATAACCAATCGATCATAACCTGGCTTTAAAAATGTGGTTCTGCTACATTGATATCATGACCTCACAGAAAACCGCTGTAAAGAGTAAACCTGGGGGGAGGATTCAAAGGGCGGCAACGCACTTGTGACTAGGGATGGAATAAAATCACAATCGCATGTGATAAATCATATAAACACAACTGTGACTAATTTACAAAACCACTGCGACTTACTATTATTATTACGCCAGCGCAAGACTCGCGAAAGATCTAAATCTAAAAACAAATAATATAATGTCGACCGGATGGCGTAATGGTTTGTGTAACGGACTGCTATTTAAGGTCGCGGGTTCAAGTCAAACATTTGTGTGCATGAACTTTTAATTTTTGATTTGGTCTGGGTGTTTCTATGTATAATATGTATGATTTTACAAAAAAATATATATATGTATTTATATCAGTTGTCTAGTACCCATAGTACAAGCTCTGCTTAGTTTGGGACTAGATGGCGTCGTGTGGTAGAATATTATTATTAATGTTTGATAAAAATAATTTTGATTCATTTTGATGGCTGGCCTGTTGGTCTAGTGGTTAGAGACCCTGACTGCTACGCCAGAGGTCGTGGGTTCGAATCCCACCCAGGACAAATAATTCTGTGTCTGCCTATTAACTTAACATGTAAACGTATGCATTTTGAAATATATATAACGATGTTTATCAGTAGTCTGGTTACCATTTCTTTTTCTCTTTTTAACGTGTGGAAACCCCCTCGGGCCGTCACCCCACCGGGGTTTACGGCGGGGTGGTGTGTGTGCCACTCTGGGCCTGTAATAGGAGGGATCCGGGGACTGCTGTTATTTGGACGTCCGGACCCCTCCTAGCGCCTGCTCGCAACGGCGCGGGTACCACCGCCTAGTTGATCCGCGATCTCCTCCTCCACTATGTTTTCGCCTTCTGCCCTGCTTCGCTTATAGGCTGCTGCCTTACAAAAGACTGAGCTACCCATCAGCCATGCATCCCCTGGCCACGCACTAGAACACGGGATTCGGAGTAATTTTTTAAAGAGGTTTTCTTCCTTGCAGTTCGTGCGGCTAAGCCCAGACCCTCACCCCCCGTTAGAGCCGCGAAACATGGCTACCACACTCCTACCGGGATTACGATGTGCAAACGGCGACAAGGAGACACAGTCCACATTGCCTGCTCGGTGGCAGAGTAAGTGCTCACCGAGCACGTCGTCGTTCCTCCACTTTGGACAGTGCAGCAACTATCATTGACCCAAGAAGGGCCCCACCGAGTATCCTTAGTCCAGAACCTCCCTCTCAGCCAATCTGGCATGAGTGACTCTACCGGTGATCTCTGAGGCCATGTCAGAGATCACTGACCTGCGCAAGCCCCCCACGACGACAACGTGAGGATATCGTTGGGGAGGGGTGGGGGGGGGGGAAAGCAGTCTGGTTACCATAGTACAGGCTCCGCCTAGCTTGGGATCAGACCGCCGTGTGTGAGTTGTGTATATTAGTGGTAGTGACTTTCTATCATATTGGAATAACTACATACTCCTGGCATCTGAGTCTACCCCGTGATGTGTGTGAATGAGTGATTTTCTACCCCGTAAACAAAAAAAAGCCCTGAGATCTGTAGCACGGATATGTGCTGTAGGTTGGCTGGTAGAGAATGCCCAGGGCATTAAGTCCGCCGATGTACATAAGTGCATGAAGATGTAAAATAAATAAATAAATAAAATATGTGGGTAGGTGACACGCACAGGCGGATAGCAATTCATTTACCAATCCTCTACACACTAAAGGATTGGTAAATGATTTACTTATTAGTACCGGTGTTCTGAGTTAGGTATTATACTATTTTCGGTAACCTCGTCCCATCGATCCCACGATTTCTTTTCCGTCGTTTTGACGGGCTTTGGTCTTTACTTGTATGCCATCACAAACACGTCACTCGGTCTACGTAAATCTTTTTATGTTCAGTTCTGAAGTTCAAGATTACAGTTAGACCAATAGGATATATGTTTTAGGTCGTGCTAATGATCTCTGCTATATATTAAAGAAATATAAAACAAGAGGGAGATAGGCAAAAGAAGGAGGGATCTGATTAAAGTCTACCTAAATAGGGGCAATGCCATTGAAATTGGATTGAAATATCTCGAGAGCATAACCGCACAGAAAAAAATGAGGATCTCAATTTGGCTGAGTTTTTTCGTTTATTACCTCAGAACTCCATCCTTTATGAACCGATTCGGAAAATTCTTTTTCATTTGAAAGGGTATATTTCCCAGTGGGTGGGAAGTGATGAAACATTAATCTGCTAATATAGAAAGACGCTATTAAAGTCAAACTTATTATCTTGTATTAAAAACAGCTTCTAAGCTCTAATCCGTTAAATCTTAACAACTAGTTATTGATAAGTTTTGAGTTTTTATTTGCGTTTATCTATAACAATGAAGAATTGACAACTTAGACTGTATATTACTGTATAATCAAGTGATTCTATTCTAGAATCTGTATAATCAAATACTTCGCCTGAATGAGCTTATTGACGGGATCTTTGAGATGCTTAGTGACAGTTGCATTTATAGCGGAACACAGTTGTACAACTAATGGTTTGCGGCAGAGTCTCTTTAATCCGTGAGTTCTTTAAAATTATGTGGTTAAAGATGCACATAATTGCCTACATAATGTTTACTTTGTGCACTTTTTAACTTTCACATACCATTATCACCTTAATAAATAAATCGATAAGGAATAAAAATCATGAACATTAATTTTCATTACATACTGGTACATATACAATGTATTTGTATCATTACAATACCTATACATACCTAGGTAGGTACCTACATATGTTTGTACATGAAGACACCATGTTTAGATATCATTGTCCTATTTACGAACATTGTAAATAATTTACTGCTTTGTGTATCTTTTGTAAATGATAACGCGTTCACTGCATAATGATAATGTTGATGTTAGTCAGTATTCATGGTTCTAAGTTAAATATTAGTGTCGCTCTTGAAAGTTGAATACTTTGTTGCAGCATAAATTTTAACATAAAAACTATGCAACCGATTCTTATAGTCCACGGTGGAGCTGGAGATATTCCCCAAAGTCGAGTTGCGGGAAAATTGAACGGTGTTAAAGATGCCGTCAGGGCTGGATATACGATTTTGCAAAATGGCGGTAGCGCTTTGGATGCGGCAGAAGCAGCAGTCGCATCTATGGAGTTAGATGAGAACTTTAACGCTGGTAAGTTTAGTGTACGCAATAATAGATAATAATAGGTCTTTACCTATGAAATTGCCGTTTTGTATGCAATAAGTGAAAGTACTTATTTTTTCAAACTTTTTTATTTCTGTTATTCGAAGTAATCACCCATGCAATCGACGCATCTTTGCCAACGCATTGGCAGTTTATTGATGCCCTTCTTGTAAAAATAAGCTGGACGGGAGGCAACAAACTCTTCAAAGGCATTTTGTACTGCCTCTCGGGAATTGAATTTTTTACCCACTAAGCATTAATGCAGATGTGTACTGTGAAGAACTGGAGAGAATGATGGAGAAGCTTGCACATCTGCAACCAGCTTTGGTCAATCGGTCGTCCCCACTGCTCCTTCACGACAACGCGCGACCCCATACTGCGCAACAGACAGTCTCCAAGCTGCAAGAGCTGGGGTTGGAAGCTCTCCCTCATCCGCCATACTCACCAGACCTTGCACCTACTGACTATTACTTTTTCCAAAATTTAGACAACTTTTTAGTGGGTAAAAAATTCAATTCCCGAGAGGCAGTACAAAATGCCTTTGAAGAGTTTGTTGCCTCCCGTCCAGCTGATTTTTACAAGAAGGGCATCAATAAACTGCCAATGCGTTGGCAAAGATGCGGCGATTGCATAGGTGATTACTTCGAATAACAGAAATAAAAAAGTTTGAAGAAATAAGTACTTTCACTTATTGCCTACAAAACGGCAATTTCATAGGTAAAGACCTAATATTTTTATTTATTATCAGTATCAACATAATGTGTTTTGAGATTCTTTGTAACAAAATTCTTTGTATCAGAAACGAGATGAGACTAAGAACATGGTCGTGTTATAAGTGCAATCGTAGATAAAGTAACTAAAAAAATATTCTTTAGGGTGACAGTAAAAGACATATCTATCTTTTTTAGAAAACAAGTCACCCGATGGAAAACCGCCACCCATGGACACCTGCTCTTGGGCGGAGGTTGTCCACCAGGTGGCTCGTTCGTTGGCGCCCTTGGAGTTCTCCTACTCACTAACTAGGTTAAAAGAAACGAAAGTATTGAGACCGGTTTTCTGTGAGGCCGTGGTATCCTTCCAGTCGAGGCGACCCACACGTGTGAAGCATGGCTTTCCCACGATATCTGAGAAAGTGAATAGTAGAGCCTACGCTAATAAAACAACAATAAACATTCAATCACACAAAAACAATCTCAACAGCCATGTTAATATTTTTAGATATGCCACTAGAAATTATAAATGTTTGGTCAAGGATATTGTGGTCAAGCGAAAGAGTAATAAAAAGAAATGTTTGACTTCATCAATCATCAACAGCCTATAATAGTCCACTGCTGGACATAGGCCTCTCCTTAGAAAGGAGGTTTTGGCCAGACGGGTTGATATAGGGGTCTGCGAGGAAGTAATCTCGCAGAAGGAGGCGGCGGAGGAGGCCCGGGAGGACGACCTCCACTCGGACCCGATCCGCCGCCGGCGAACCGGGCGGCGGAGGCGCGCTTATCACCGCCTCATGCCGCCCTGAGTGTGGCCGCAGGTGGACGGGGTGGGTTTCCCCTCCACCCGCATTAGTTTGGCCAGCCGCGAGGGAGCGGCGTCCGCGTGTGCCGGACGTCGCCTAAAGAGAGGTTAAAATTTTGAGACGGAGCCCGCACCGGGCAGGCGCTAGGAGGGGTCCGGATGTCTTAACAACAGCTGTTCCCGGATCCCTCCTATTACAGGCGCAGAGTGGCACACCGTGTGGTTTTAGTCGGTCCGAGTCCGACACACCACCCCGCCGCAAACCCCGGTGGGGTGACGGTCCGAGGGGATTTCCACACGTTAAAAAAAAAAAGGGTTTGTGGCAAGTTTTCCTTCTCTCTGAAGTGCTGTTGTTCTGCCTAGTTTTTTCCCTGAGTCGGCTCTTACGACACCTACGGGATGACTAGGGGTGGTGACACTCTGTATTCTTAATCCGTCACCACACGGATAGGACTTATTTGGAAAAAAAATAAAAGTCATTAAATAAAATGACATTTTTGAAGACATTAAATTGTACTTAATGTCTTCAAAAATGTTGTATAGGTTTCTTACGATTTCAATTTTCGACAAATCTGGAAACGTAAAATGTAGCAAACGTCACAAGCGGTTGGTTTATACTAATACAATATTTTTTTCTTATTTGTAATTTGTTGGCATATCTATATTTAGGTTATGGATCAGTTCTCAATCTTCGAGGAGAAGTAGAAATGGAAGCAAGTATAATGCGTGGTTCAGATCTAAATGTTGGTGGAGTTACTTTGGTTAAGGAGTTTCTACATCCAATAAAGATAGCACACAAAGTTCTAACGGATTCTCCGCATTCTCTTTTGGGCGGCGAAGGAGCAAAATTATTTGCGTTAGAGAAGGTAGTATTTTTCAAAATAATTATTTAATACAAATACCTGGTTTTACTAATATTAATAATTTTAGGGTTTTCAACCCATTCCATCAGAATCACTTATCACCGAGCACGCAAAAGAAGCATTGGAAAACTTTTTGAAACACGGTGATCATGGCAGAACTGAGATAGGTTCCCCCGACAAGGTAAGATACTAATCTTACACTTAGGTATATGAATGTATGTATATATCTCAGGTACGAGGCTGATTCTAAAATTAAAAGTAGAAATTGTGCCTAATTTGTGTCTGTCGAAAATATGGAAACAATAAGAAATAAATCCTTTTTTGAGCACTAAAAATAAAAAAATAATTACAAATCTACGGAAAAAACCTATAATAAGTGCGACCCTCAATAGAACAGGGTCTCAATTCTGCTATTACGCCAAGCCAGTGTCATACCACTGACACGCTTTTTAGATGCCATCGAGTAGCCATTGGCATCGGTATAAATATCGGTAGTTGAAAATATATTACGTTTTTTAAGGAAATGATTTATTTGTTTTTATTATAATAAATTATTAAACGAAATAAATAAATTAAAATAACTTATTAAAAAAATTAAATTTAAAAAAGAGAAGTACTTAAATTAAAATAAATGATTAAAGAATAAAATATAAAAATTATAAAATAAAAAAATATTAAGATAAATAAATAAATTATTAAAAAAATAAAATTATATAAAAGATAAATAATGTATTAAAATAAAAAAAATATTTAAATAAGTCATTTCCTTATAATTTGAAAATATATTACGTTTTTTGAGGAAATGATTTTTTATTTTTATTTTTTTATTTTAATAATTTATTTAGTTCTTTTTTTATAATTTTTATATTTTATTCTTTAATAATTTATTTTAATTTATTTATTTATTTATTTTTATTTTATTTTTTATAAGTTATTTTAATTTATTATAATAAAAACAAATAAATCATTTCCTCAAAAAACGTAATATATTTTCAACTACCGATATTTATACCGATGCCAATGGCTACTCGATGGCATCTCAATAGCGTGTCAGTGGTATGACACTGGCTTGGCGTAAACATAAAATAGCAGAATTGAGGCCCAGGTAACATTATAATAGCAATAGTCTCTTCTAGTCTGTTTGACGTCCTTAGATTTGTAATTATTTTTTAATTTTTAGTGCTCTATCAGTATTGTTTTTAAAATAATTTATTTTACTATTTTTAGTGTAAGATACGTTTGTAATGAGTATGTTAAACTGTAAGTAAACTGTAGTATGTTAGATAATATTAAATATAGTTTAATAAGTCCGTTGATTTGTTTAGATAAGGTAGTAAGATGTTAGATTTGCACCCGAAAATATATTGTTTTCCACATTACTTAATTTTCCACCATTAGGGGTGACATTTTTTCTTCACGTTTGAATGGAACCAAAAAGGAAATATACCCTTCCAAATAAAAAAGCATTTTCCTAATCGGTTTACAAAGGAAAGAGTTTTGAGGTAACAAACATGATAATAATTGCGTAACAAACATTATTTTGTATAAATATTTTGTAATCTCATATATTACTCTCTTGTGCACATATTTCTAACCCAACAACCAAATTAGAATTTTGAAAGAGTTATCCTCTAACTCCTAAAGGTCAATGATCCTTCCATCATCAGCTCAGCAATATGACATAATGACTACTAAACGCAAATACCTATATATAGATAGAGAAACAAGCTAAAACACGTTTTATGGACTGTAAAATTTGAGGGTTTTCTTCGATTTCTCTCGGATCCCATCATTAGATCCTGATTTGGTGGTAATAGGACCACCTCGGCCGTATACTCTTTCGATTTCAAAGAGAATTTTAAAAATTGGTCCACAATTGACGGTGATATCGCGTTACATACATAACGTACATACAAAAAAAAAAGCTCGTACAACTGAATTGATAACCTCCTCTTTGTGATCCAACAATTCTTGGCATGTAAACGTCTTGTTTCCTCACAATTTCTTAGTATTCTAGTGTCTCGACTCGGAACCTGGGAAAAGGTCAGCCCTGAAAGATATTAGTTAAACGCTTAACTCGACAAATTTCAGGGTGGTGTGGGCACAGTAGGTGCAGTGGCAGTAGATGCCAAAGGACACGTAGCCGCAGCAACTAGCACCGGTGGTATGAGTGGTAAGGCAGTCGGCAGAATCGGCGATACTCCACAAATTGGTAGTGGCACTTACGCTGATGACAATTTAGGTGGTGTTTCCACAACAGGTTTGTGTTTTATTTTACAATCTTGTATTTTTATACCAGTATCTCCAGTGTATGTGCCTGCATGCAAATGTAAATTCTATGTGTTGCAATCAAAACGGCATGGTGGCAATCAATTTAAGAATAGGTATCTTATATACACAAAACTTACGATATTTTGTAATACTTTAACCATTCGTGTCTACGTCGTGTATTCTTGTAAGTAAATTGAATGTCATGACACTTTAAGTTATCTTTCTTTTGTTTCCTTTCCTATGTAATTATGATTATTTTTAATATCACGTCGTAGGTCATGGCGAGTCCATACTAAAGTATTGCTTGGCTCACAGCATTGTAAAACTCATGGAAAGTGGGTTAGACGCACAAACAGCTACAACGAAAGCAGTAAATGGTAAATAAAATATTAAAATATTAATATTAATATAATATTTTGTATTATTTTAAGAAGTGTATTTTTTATATGAGTAATAATAATGAAATGAAATTATAACTAGGCAATGAAAATGGGTGTATTTTTAGGTATGACTTCTAAACTAAAAAACACGGCTGGTGCAATAACGCTATCCAAAGATGGGAATGTCGGAGTGCACTTTAGTTCGAAACGAATGGCGTGGGCATACGTAAAGGCCAATTTAATATTTTATGGCATCGAACAAAGTGAAATTTTAGAAGAGGCATATAAAGCAAAGTAAAGAAATTTTGTTGGATTAATGCTTTTAATTAAGCTATATTCGTACCTAATCAGAGCCCTGGAAGAATTTGTATTTTATATTGCTTTCGTCTATGCATAATAAAAACTATGATTATTTTATTAACATATGATTGTTAAGAAATTATATACCTAATAAAAATATAATAAACTTGCTATTAATAAATGTATTAGTTTCTTTAATAATGGGTCATTTATATTTAGTCCAATTGTAATATCTTATTTAGGAAAGATTTAGGAGATTTTATGTCAAAGATAAGACCCATCGACCCATAAGACAGAAGTTGATGAGATTTTAATGGAAACAACGACAACAAGACTGTATAACTTGTTTTTAATATTTTGTGTTGGTGGAAATTTTAATAAAATAAATGGAATTTAGAAATGACTGTTATCTATTGTTTTTGTATTATTGTGAAAGTGATTTAGTCTACAAGTGCAACGAAGGTAGACGACTCATGCGCCGGAGGTCGCAGAACGACCTCCATCCTCCATAGGCGCAGGCCTGGGGTGACAGGTGAGTCACCCTAGCGGAAGCAGGCCGGGTTGGCGGCGCGACGTGCCTTTTAGTTTGTAGAACGGGAAAACCGCGGTTGTGGAAAGAGCCTAGGCTGACTTTTATTTTATTTTATAATTAAATAAATATCTTTATCTATCTTTATTTCTGTTACTAACTCGGTGGTGTCATTATATAAAAGAATAATAACTTTGACAATACCGGTGGTGTAATGGGGATTGAAGAATACCCTTGGCACTACCGGTGGTGTCATTGGGTAGTATCACAGGTCCGTAACGAAAAAAAAGGTGCAACGAAGTTGTGTTAATAAAAATCATTTTTTATGCAATTACAGAATAACTACAACATTAAAATTACACTCAATTTTTGTTACGTTAGGTGCCTGTGCATGGAGTGTTTCTTTTCTAGTAATATTATTGTACTCTGTTTTGTTACTGCGGCAGTATGACATGCTTAATTTTGTCGGGTTTATCTTCCGCTGTACCACCAGCGGAACAGACAGGGGTAGGTAGGTACACAGGAAAAAGGTGGGTCAACCTTAAAGCCAGTTGTCTTGATATGCAACAAAATTATCTAATTGAATCTGAGCAAGGTTTAAAATTTGAAAATCTTTTTAACTCATAATGTTATTTTAAGGACTCTCTCAGGCGTCTTTATATAAATTATGCAGTTTATATTAAATAGCCAGTAAATTTGAAATAGCTATAGTTAGCGAAGGAAATCGAAACAAAATTATTCGGGCGCATCATATATTTTGGGGATATGTTATTTGGACGCCAAAAATGCTCCGTTAAAAAGGTCTGACGACTTTAAAGTGACTCAAGCTGGTAGCGAATTATCGAAAATGCTAACTGCAATGATATGAAAAATCGCTATTTCCAAATACGCGAGCGTGTTATATTTTAGACAGACGGTTCAGCTTGATGTTCCTGTCATACTAGTACTGTCATATTTTTTGGAAATTTGTGACCCTTCCACTGCTTTATGTTATGCTCAAATCGTCAGTTTTTTTTTTATACACACTAATGTGCATTTAATTGACTCAACTTACCTTAATCTTACATGGTTGAGTATTTTAGGCCATTGTTTTTTTTTTTTTAACTAATCTGATGAGCTGCCCTGGACGATCCCCCTGTATGTATGGTGGAGGTACTCAACAGGGCGTGAAGTATTCCAACTATGTTAAACTTCTAACTTCCTAAAAACTAAACTCTTTCCTAAGGAGAGGCCATGTCAAGCAGTGGACTACTTACTAATACTGTTGATAACAATGATATTTTAAGAAAGATACGTCATGTTCATAGTGCTCTCACAAAATATTTGTTCTGTAGCCGTCATCTATTACTGCACTTTAGAACAAAACGTACACTTAGCTGTGTTATGACATTCCTTTATCTTTATTTACCTTTTTGTCGTAATTTGTGCACTTTCGGAATACACAGGAAGGCATTTTATAATTTTCTCGAATTAATTAGAACGTGCCTTCGCTCGCAGTGGTGGTAATTAGGACCCTCGCGTTTTGTGCGTTGGTGGTGTATCTACATCTTGTTTGTATTTATTATCATTGGTTGATGAGGATTGTCCGTGTAGTGACGGATTAAGAATACGGAATGTCACTACCCCAATTCATCCCGTGGGTGTCGTAAGAGCCGAATAAGGGCGCAAAACAATGCAGGACACCAGCACTGCAAAAAGAAGGAAAACTTGACACAAACCCTATTCCAACCCGTTTGGCCAGCGTGGTATAGTAGGCCAAAACCTTCTTTCTAAGGAGATGCCTATTGTGGAGGAACGGGTGTCATGTCCCTCCAACACAAAGGGAGGATCCTCCGACCAGGCGAGGTGATCATGCCTGGCGGGCCGCGGCCCAACGTTTGATGTTGGGAAGTTGTATATATGCTAATCGGCGAGAGAATTCTTTATATCGCGATACAGGATTAGCAATTCTTATTTTAGTAGTTACTCCGTAGTTCGGTGTGTCTTCATTAGATGGCGCTGTAGTATGTTTATGTGGGAGTCGCCACATCACTCCCCTCCAAGACCGGAGGTCGATACATGATGAGTCAGCTGTCTATGCCTTGTTGTGGAGCGTGCCAGTGCCAGTAGTGAGTAGTTCCAGTGAGTCGGAATGAGTGGCGCTAGTTCCAGTGGCTCGGAACTGAGTGCCGCTAGCCCCAGTGAGTCGGGCCTAAAGTCCGCTGATCCCAGTGAGTCGGGATGGCGTGCGGTGCGCGGTGCTGCGGTGAAGACCCCAGTGAGTCGGGGCGGTTGCTGCGTAGTGGCTGGCTGCTGCGTAGACGGGAGAGAAAATGCTCTTCTTACGTGGACCGTAGGTGCAGTGTGCTGTGCCTAGACGCTGATGAGGCCCTAGAGATAACCAGGCTGGAGCGGTCGCTACCTGCGTGTGGTATCCCTGTAGAGGTCGAGGTTGCTGGCTGGCTGAGACTTGATTACTGCTCATCGCTGTGGGAGTGTACACGATGGTGCTGCTGATGATCTGCTCCTTTTGAAGGCTGCTTCTAATCACGTCGGGGTCACCACTGTTAAGGAACGGGTGTCATGTCCCTCCAACACAAAGGGAGGATCCTCCGACCAGGCGAGGTGATCATGCCTGGCGGGCCGCGGCCCAACGTTTGATGTTGGGAAGTTGTATATATGCTAATCGGCGAGGGAATTCTTTATATCGCGATACAGGATTAGCAATTCTTATTTTAGTAGTTACTCCGTAGTTCGGTGTGTCTTCATTAGATGGCGCTGTAGTATGTATATGTGGGAGTCGCCACACTATGTCCAGCAGTGGACTATTAAAGGCTGTTGATGTGATGATGTGATGAGGATGAACCTACGTCATATAATGAAGACGTTGACAAGAATTGTATACCTATGTATTCCTGAAGTGTCAGGCAGGCACCCACATTTTGCCTACTATATTTTGTCTAACTTACAGGGACAAGAGGCTTGTCCTCTAGCAAGCCTCTTGTTCCTTAACTAAATCATCATCATCAGTGTATCGCAGTCCACCGCTGGACATAGGCCTCTCCTATTGCACGCCACTTTGATCGATTTTCGGCTTCTCGCATCCAGCTCCTGCCAGCCATCTTACGCAAATCGTCACTTCACCTGGCTTGTGGGAGTCCTACACGGCGGTTACCGAGAAATAATAAAGGAAATTAATTATGTAGTAGGAATAGTGTCGAGTACAAAATCATAATAGAGATGTCTAAAATGGCAGGCGGGCAGTTAATGATTTACTAAAGGACTTGTCCAGAAATTGTTTTTTATACGCCAAAAATTCCAGTGGCGATACATATAATGTTTTTGGACACACCAAGAACTGATTTTATAATTTATAAAATGAAGTTTTAAACTATTGCAATTTTGAGAAAACATCGTTTCTACTTTGGCATTATTTTAAGCGATGACCAATAAAAAATAAAATGACAAGTTTGACAATTTTATTCTAATAATTCAATTCAATTTTATTTTATCGCACACAAGAATTTGTAACACGTGCCTTACGGATGATGATTATGCACAGAGTATAGTAATAGTATCGATTATGTTTATTTTGAGTAGGTATGCTATGAAGTATTGTGAGATTCCTACAAATATAAAGAGAAATTAATAGACTACGTCGTTAAGCGTTACCTAGAATTGATTTATCTTGTCAAGAAATAATATTGTATAGTATATTTGGTATTGTCATAATGAATATAATATCTTTTAACATATTTTCTTTTAAATGCAGGCTTTAAAAATTGTTACTGAAGTAATTCCTAATTTTATTTGCTATATATCAGTGTGATTTGAGTCACAATAAATTTTACTCGGGATAAAACCAAACGAAGGGTTGTTTTGACCTATGAACGCACTGATTGAATGTTCTGTTTAGTTTAGGGCATAACATATTGCACCAGGGACTTCCTTTCTAGGGTATACCTGGTTCCCCGGCTATTAGTACCCGAGACGGCGTGCGGTTTTAGTCGGTTCGTGTCCGACATGCCACCGACATGTGGTATCCGAGGGGATTTCCGCACGGAAAAAGAAAAAAGAAAAGGGCATAACATATTATTTCGTAGCCTGTATATTTCAGCATCCTAAACGATTTGTCGAAAAAACTAACGAAATGGGTCTCAGTTCTATTTGGAACTGTTTACCTGTCGTATTTGACGTAACATGTACACTAATTTCAGACTCTTCATAAATCAAAAGTCTGAAATTAATTTAATTATTTCTTTCCTAATATATTACTTTCCTAATAAATTATTATGTACTGTCTATTCACCAGAATGATTCAATATAAAAAAGAATTGTGCAATCAATATAATTACCAACTACTACTAATTATTGAACTATTGAAAAAGTTTTTGCATTATACTCAAAACACATTTCAAAATCGATTTCTAACGTCTTTCCCTAACTAGTTTGTATTGTCACAACTGTCTCGACTCTTGTCTGTCATATCTGACAATCCGCTATTGTCGATTGTCACTATTATAACAAACCTTACTACAAATAAAATCGTCCTTCCATTCAATATTTTTCCATTTAAATATTTTTATGTAATTATTACTTTATGCAATAATGTTGCTAAACGGCAACATTCCTATAAGGTTTAAGCCGGCTGAATTTCACGGTTTTAATTGGTTATACAATGTTGCACCTTGTTTCGCTGTAAATGCATCTAAAATAATTATTCTGAGTGATCCTAAAATGTTTTACGATACATTATGTGAGAGATTTCGTAACGCCAATCGTAGAATATCTATCGCAAGTCTTTATTCCGGTACAGGAGTACTAGAAAAGCAACTTTTAAAAGTTACTAAAATGAATCTAGCGAAACAAAAACACTTGAAATTGAAAGTGCTTTTAGATTACCAGCGTGGTACAAGAGGGGAAGTTAATTCAGTATCATTATTAAAAGATTTTATTGAGGACAATCCTGAACAATGTAGTATAAATTTGTATCAGACGCCCAGACTCCATGGATCATGGTCAAAAGCCATACCATCTAGATACAACGAGCTCATAGGTCTCCAACACATGAAGCTGTACATAGCTGATGACAGAGTGTTGCTGAGTGGTGCAAACTGTTCTAATGACTACTTCCAACAGAGGCAAGATCGCTATATCGAGATTGAGGATGCTGAATTGGCTAATTTTTATAGTGAACTCATAGGTATGATGACTGTGTAAGTTAGTATTGTATTTGTTTTTTATTTGATGATGATTTTTATTCTAATCTGTCTTCTGGCACTAGTGAAGAAAGTTGTTCTAATAAATTCCATTAAGGAATACATTTTGTAGCTTAATTTTGTTAGTGATCATTTTTTTTTATTTTGTTTTTTAAAGTGGATTATTAATAGCATATTAGCCCTTCTTCTTAGATTATTTAGATTTATAGTCTAGGAAATTAGTGACATAGCAATTGAGAAGAATTTTGATGGTTTATTCTTAGATATTTTACCCGAAACTGTTATTACTAGCAAGTAGAAAAAATATTTGCTTTTTTTTGAAATGGCAAATAAACTTATTTGTTAATACTTATCGATAACCAAGTCAAAAAGAAACATACTCTCATTGGATTTTTCTTAGTGCTAATTTGACTAATATAATTTTACCAACACAAAATGTCATCGATCGCAACCAGTTTTATGCTGTTAGGAAAAACAATTTAAAACAAAACTTGTAAAGTGGGGAATAATGAACTGTTAGATAGAAGCTATTGCTTAGCTATAGCTATTTGAATATGTTTCTTGTAGGCAAGTCTAATCTATATAAATAAATAAAATTGAAGTGTCTGTTTGTAATGTGCTCACATGGTTATTTGCACAATACCTATGGCTAAAATCCAGTTTAAAAATTTTTTGTCTGTCTGTTTGTTCAGGCTAATCTTCAAATCTTCAATAATTTACTGTGGAAATCAATACTACTGAGAGGTCTAGAAATATTAACTTTGCATGTGTGGCAATTTAAAAATTAAGGAACTACTAAGACTTGACTGGAAATATTAAGTCTACAATCACAACTAGATAAGTTATAGGTCGGATTAAATGGAATTCTCAATACTTAATTAATTAAAAACACTTACATTTTTTTATAATTGTTATCTTAATTTTTTCAAAGTATGCCAGTAATGTTGTTAACACATTACTAGTTAGGAGTAAGTTTATATAAGAAGCACAGGGAACATGCAAGGACTTTATAATAGGATGATAGCATGTCCATTATGTAAGAATTGTTTTGCAAGTAGTAGTTTTTTATACTCTACCACAAAAAATAACTATGTTAATAAAGTGTCATCTCTATTTTTGTATTTCAGATGAAGTAAGTAACTTCAGCAAGCAATGTACAAAGTTTGGAATATATGAAAAACAGTTTCCCTCAAAACTAGCATTTGTGAAAGAGATGAGGACACGAATCAGCCTCTTTATTGAAAGATGGAAAGACACAAATTACCCTAAACTGCTTGCTTCTCAAAATGGTGGGTATCCCTTTTTTACATTGTAAGAATTTTCGTCATTAAAATATTGCTTTTCCATAGCTGGTTTATTTATTATCATCAGAGTCTTCAGCACTATGCTGTTAGCAATTGCAGTCGAAATAGTAACAGATTGAGACAAGATACCTAAAATAACGGTGAACACTTAAACACATCTGACACAGATCATCATAATGTCCTTATTTTGTTTTTCAATTATAGAAACTTTTTGTTTATAGATGAGACCAAAGACACATGGATATTTCCTCTTCTACAGATGGGAGAATTTGGTATAATTCAAGATGAAGAAGTGACAACAAAAGTCCTAGCATCTGCCCCCAAAGATTCCTTTATTCAGTTGGCAACAGGTTATTTCAATTTAACCGATGATTATGCCAGAACATTGATAACAGACTGCAAGGCAAATATTAGTTTACTGATGGCGCATCCAAACGTATGTTGTTTACGACTTATTTATTCTTCTGTGATATTTGATAGTGAAAAATAAACTTGTACAGATTTTTATATTTTCAGGCAAATGGTTTCGTTGGTGCAGCAGGTCCAGCGGGGGGAATTCCACATGCATACTCTTTGATTGCTACTAGGTGAGATATTCAACTTATAAATTTTCACAAGTAAATAAGAACGAAAATTTCTATTAATATGTATCATAATGTAAATGTGAAATTTTATGTCCTTTACCTCACTATTATTGTTTTACAGATTTTGGAAAAAAGTGGTGGATTTTAATCAGACCAGCAGAGTAGAAATGTTAGAATACGAAAGACCAGGCTGGACATTTCATGCGAAAGGATTGTGGTAATAGTTTATGAAATATGACATACTAGCTTTTGCCCCCAGCTCCGCTTGCGTGTATGTCGGTTATCGCGGTATAAAGTAGCCTATGGCCTTCCTCCAGAATCAAAGTATCTCCATGCCAAATTTCTTTAAAATCGGTTAAGTCGATCGGTCGGTTGGTAAAATCGGTCGGTCGGAAAGTGTAATAGACAGACAGAGATACTTTCGCATTTATAACATTAGTAGGGATTATAAAAATAACTATGTTAGGAGGATATCAGAGTGCAAAAATATTTATAGCAATAAATCATAGATAAATTTAAGCTTTAACATAAAAGATACCACGAATAGTGATTTCGCCGAATACCGAATAACGAATATTCAACAAGTCTCTTGGCCGGAGCGCCGAATATTCGGCAACACTTAGTACCTTTCGCGGGTTTAAACCTGAATCAGCAAAATGTTCAGCAAACGCAAAACAATATCTTACCCTAACAGAATTGGGTAAGATTTATATATCATCCCTGGCAGCAGTGAATACAGTGAGCGGCTATTTTCCGAAACAGGTATTTATGATTCAAAGCGCGATCGTTTCCTATCAATAGATGCTGAAAAAATAGTGTTAATTATTAATATGATAAGTTATTGGTAAAATAAAAAACTTTGTGAGTAAAATTATGCATTCTTCTTTTCGTGATTTACTGTTTGGTGTATAGTAAATAGTTCGGCATATTCAGCCGAACACCGAATAGTGGAAAAAAATGCCGAATATTCGTGGCATCTCTATTTAATATTATGATTTGATGTTTTAGAAAATAAAATGATGTTCTGATGATGATAAATGATCTCAAAAATAATTAAAAGTAATTGTAATGATGATGATGATGATCCAGAAGAAAAAAACTAATTGGGCATACACTTTGACAGTAATCAATAAGGTGAAGGGAAATGCGACTGTATTTATTTTCTATGTGAATAGCGTTGAACAAATACGTTATCTTATATTAGGTATTACCCCCCTGGGAGTGGAGTGCCGTGGGCCACAATAATTGGTTCTGCGAATCTAGGCGAGAGGTCGGTAAGACGTGATCTCGAAGCGCAGGCTCTAATTTTTACTGTTTCCCCTGATTTACAGGTAATCCCCTTTCTGATTTTTTTGTTTAGTAAGTAGAGTACGAGTAGTATATTGATGTTTTTGATGTGTTGCATGCTTTCTAGATTAGCAGTAGATAAGAAACCCATCTATCACTTAGTCACGTTCATACTGCAACTTTTTAAACGTAAATAATGTATTGTATTATTATAAAATAACTAATGTTCCTTTTAATGACTTCTCGGTAAATAAAATATTATTCAATCTTAATACAAGGCATTGGTTTCGGTATCCTTGCACCGTCTTAAGAAAATCAGCCGCAAGCAATTTTATTTAAAACAAAGGTAATAAAAATAAATAAAGTCAGAACTATATTATGTTTAACGCACATTTATACTAGGCTTGATCGTTGCACCCGTTTTCTTTGAAGAAAAGAAAATTTCGCTACAGATATTGGTTTTCATGTGGGATTTTATAATGATCCATTTTCAGGGTTTTCTATCCGAAGATAATGAACTTCTATTTTTTTTTTTCAGAATAAATTACGTCGAGAATCAGAACAGTTGCATCTTTATGGTTCAGAGTGTAGCGACGAATTACAAAAACGAGAGACGCCGCTCTGGGTCCGCGCTACAGTGGGTTTGTTTAAAACTTACTTCTAACTAAACTTAAAGTCTGTCGAGACATGAACACACTAGAAAACAATCAGCAGTTGCAATCAGAGTTCGCCCAAATATTTGGCATCTTAAGTATTAGGTACTTTTATTATTGTGTAAACAGAAGGTATCACTAGCACGAAACTCTCGAATGCTTAATTTTAATATTTATATAAATACACTAGAGCTTTTGTATCTTCTAGGTATTATTATGAGAAGATAATTCTGTGTAGCCTTTTTTAAACAAGTTTCGCAGACGGAGGAATGTGAAATTTTTTGTCAATAAGTATTATAAATTTAAATATGATGTGACAACCGATACAGGAAGTTACAGAGGTCCAGTATATATGTTTACTTGTCATGATACGAAAGTCTTTTACAACCAAAAAGTTAACAGTACAAGTTACAAGCACGTAGGTACCTTTTTATTTAACGTGGTTCACGCTCACGGGCTGAATGATGAAAAACAGCAGCTTAACGACGCTTATCTGCACTGAACCTTTAATTTTCAACACCAAACTACTCATACTACAACTACATCCAATTGAGACTACTAACAACTACTAAGAACCGATTTATAGCAGTTCCTATTTCTTTATAGAGTTCTCTCTTTCAGTTCATATTTTTGTAGCATAATACCTGAGTGATGTTTTAAAAATGTTAATTTATAATATTTTTAAATATTATAAATAATATTATAAATTTATAGTTTTGATCGCATCAGAATGAAAAGAAGCCTATGCTTCTTTTCGTGATCAAAACACTTCAACTATTTTCAACAAACACAAAGTCTATACGTTGTTTGTTGAAAAATGTGTACTGTGTAGTTTAATCCTAACTTACTAAAAGTCCCAGGGGGGGTGTCCGCAGCCCTTGCATGCCTGACAGATCCATATTTGAATTAAGAACTCAATCTACAGTCGAGTTTGAGTCCAATGTAATATGGGTATTCCTTGAGTAGGTACTTAAAACAAGGGAATCCGTATGGAAAAATATGTTCTAAATCTTTTTTGTAATTTTCTGGTAAAAATGCTATATTTTTCGTTAATTAAGAAAAGCTTTTAAATATTTTTGTTTATCTAGTATTGCAAGTAAATGAATTTTAATGTATTTAGCTATATAATGCAAACCCGAAACATCTGAGTATGCCAACTTACTGCTAGCGATTTTATTGTTTTTATTCCTAAATGAAACGACAATTACTTATTGTAATTAACAAAAGCTATTGCCTACCGAGATGAGCGTATATTGTGTACATTATAAAATGGGAAATGAATTTATATTTGAAAATAACTAAAAAGCATGACATGAATGTAGAGTAATAGATGAGCCAGCTTCTATTCAATTTGCTGTTAAATAAATGCCAATAGAATAAACAATTTGCTGTTAAATAAATAACCTTATAATTACTTTTTAGGTTTTATTAAGATTACGCTGTGGTATTTTACAGGTTTCGGTATTTTTATTAGGTTCATGTGAATGTAGTTGGCGTGTTATATGGACATAAAATGGCATATAATATTATATTATTGTAATGACAGACGATCTAGGAAAATGTTTTTGACCTCATTTTAAGTTTACCATCTACACAAGTGTGCACCTTTCATTAATATAAATAAAAATGTTGTCTATGAGAAGACCTTTGTATGTTCGTCAGTAACTTGACGTTATAAAATCTGATGCTTGTTATTTTATATATTCCGTAACAAATTTGGCTTGGACATAATTTATTTATTGATTATTCTAACGGTTATGTGTGCCCGTTTGGTATTTGTTACTGTTTATAAAATATTAAAGTTTTTGTTGAATCAATTTAATTGTTTCATTACGAAGTAAGAACCCAGAGTCCGGAGTAAGTGTTAAATAAGACAATTTTTTAAATAATTCTCATTATATTCACTTTTATTTTCATTGATATAATCACATAATCATAATTATTCCGATTCACACTTAAAATAATTTTTAAAATAAATTAAACGAGAAAATATTCTGTTATATGTTACAAAAACTCAGTCGTTTCCTGACATTAATTGATTAGAATTAAATTATACGATCAAATTTACAATAATAGGAATCAGGCACATTATTAATAATAAAACTACACTAGTGAGTAGCAAATACTTGCTATCAGTTTGTTCATAAATAGGAATCGGGACGAATGCAAGTGGCAAATGGAACTGGACGAAATCACTTTATTAATAACATTGTTCGATATTTCTGCAAATAATCATTCCAATTAAATAAAAAAATAACGCACTTGAGCATAATCATTACTGATAATTACAAAATAATCATTGCAATTGAGCAATTTACATAAATACTTATATAACAATCATTATTGGAGTTACAATCAGTTACTGAAGCATACTTATAGTATTTGTTTAACAGTGAGCAATTTAACTAGAGATTCTATTAAATATGTATTCATATTTAAACAAATTTGAAACAAGAAATGCAAGGAATCTTCCACTACTCGAACGTGGATGCCGTTTTATCCTAATCTTTGGTGTGCTGGGCATAACTACGTCACCTCACTTTACTAAATGTAGTATGTTTGTAGTAAACAAGCGGTCATTATCAATAAATTATGTCACTTCATTTAGTAAAGTCGGTCCGTCCACACGGGAACGTTATACTGTTGTGTCGCGGTAACGCCATTTATCTATATCTACGGACGCCGATAGTAGGTACAAAAATAGTTCACCTATTCATATAATTAAGACTACTTAACAATTAAGTATCGCGAGGAGGCCTCCAGAAACACAGAAAACTGACAAAATTATTCTCAAATAAAATGACTCAGTAATAGGCACAATACAAGACGTATCAGGCACAGCGAGGCCCCCTACAATTATAATACTACTTATAGCAAATCACACTAAGGTAAATTGACTAGGCGTGTTGTGAGTGGATCGCTTTTGTGATCATTGGCTTTTGGGCTTCGACGACAATTAACAGAACTAACAAACTAAAAATATTCATCTGGCCTTAAGATCGTATCGACCCGTCTAATTTTATCGATCAAAGCTCGAGACTAATCGTCGACACGTACGAATATTTGATTAAAGATGGACGAGGTATTATTTTAAATAACCTAGTTACGTCTCGGCAAACATTCGGTCCCAAGAAGTAACCAGGATATCGTCGAGCGCGGTAGGAGTCGAAGCCGGCGGGCGGGCGGCGGTGAGGTCCCGTCAGAAGCCGGCTATGGGCGGCGGGTCGGGCGGCAGGTAGTGCAGCTCGTCCACGGGCGCGCTGAACACGTTGTAGAGCACGGCGAACAGCGTGCACGCCGCGTACGCGCCCAGCGCCGCCCACCACAGCAGGCGCTCCCACAGGCGCTGCTGCGCGTGCTTCAGCACCAGCAGCCCGATGGTCAGCCCCGCCAGCGCGCCCGCCACGTGCGCCGCGTACGACACCGGCGGCGCCTCCTGCACCACACACAGTTACACACTAGTCAGTAACAATATAGTAATGTTGCCGTAAAACGGGAACTTTCTAAAGGTCAGAGTCGGCACATCGGAGGCACCTTTTGCCGATGTGAAGTAATATTATATGAAGGGACCTACTGAAGGAATAAAGAAAGACTATTGTAATTACCTTGGTATATCTAGCGTGCACCGCGAAGCCGACGTCACACGATGCTACGGCTAGTGCGGCCACGAGTCTTACGGCTCCATACCTCATGGTATGAAAATTTAGGAGGGCGTTGGCTAAGTGTGCGGCTAACAAAGCATATACACCGCCCGAGGCGCCCGCCAAGCACACGTCGGGGTCCAGAACGGACGCCGCTAAGGACCCGCCTAAAACGCCTGCTAGATAGACTGCTGCACAGCGTAAAGCCCCATGAACCATTTCCAGGGGCAGACCCACCTGCAAGCGATAGAAATCTAATGTAAGTTCTAATATTAGGCATAAAAATGTGCTTAAGGAGATAGCCGTCCGCTGAGCTAGAAGTCATAGAATGGTTATTTTTCACAAAAACTTAACCAAGAGACCTCTTCCAAGAAAATTAGATATAGGTATTGATGAAAATAAAGAATGCTTTAGATTAGGGCGACTATTGGATATGATGGGGGATGGATGAGGGATATTGGTTTGCCTAAGAAGTATACTCAAATTAATAGTCAGAACCTGTGCATATTAGATGAAAATATATCTTGAAGAGAAAATGTCAAGAAACTCACTGCAAGTTGTACTAGTAGATTGAACGCCAGGTGCAGCCAGCCAGCATGCACTACGCTGTATGTGAGGAACCTCCATAATTCTCGTCTTCTATCGGACCGATACACGAGAGGTGAGTCTACAGGCACTGGGCCGGCCGCTGCTGCCATGCCACCTGAACCCCAAGCGTACCACGCGAATACACCTAGCTGGAAAGAGAGTTTGGTAGATATAGGCATACATACAAAAACAATAAGGGTTTCTGTTGCAGTCCATAATTCCCCTCGAGTCACAGACATCCTAAATCCTTGACAAAATTGGAGAACCAGAAAGACTAATTTCTTGTAACGCTTTATTCGGTTTTATAGAACTTTTCTAACAGTTCAACGTTTTTTCTCCTTAAGCTCTTAATGACATTCCAATCTACATTACATCCTGACGTTAGTGCTTTTGTTGTTTTTAAAAATTAAAGGTCTATTTTAAAAACTTAGATTGGATTTTTTTACAATTAGGGTAAAATTGAAATTATGTTTATCTGATAAGTTAAGACGTAACGTAAATTAAATTATACTAGTTACTACTGAAATGATCAGAATGTGGAACTTATACCTATGTTTCATATTGAACCTGAAAGTTCTACTGAACATACCTAATTATTTTGTCAGTTAATTTTTATATTAAAATATTATGTCACAACGTTCTGGTTAACCCCTCTAAATAATGTACAGGCTACTTTAAGAATAAGGTTCACGTCTGGTACCAGGATGCAAATGATGCAACAACTTGTTGCTCTGTTAGACATGTTTTGCAATATGCAAATAATGCTGTGCAGTCACTAATATATTGTACACAATATTACGAGGTCCTAACTATTTAAACAGGGATAAGGACAAATAATTTATTATTAAAGTCTAAGTGACGTTCAATTATATTAATCATGTTTTATAGGGGAAAACCGTTACCTAAGAAAGAAATGTGCGTATAGTGGGATATATCGCCGGATCGCGACAGTACATATGTGGACAGACACTTAAACAGAGAGCGTGCGCACTCGGCCTAGGTGAATCAACGTGTGACGAGCGGCGCGATCTCTACGATTGTTATGATTCACGTAAGCCGCTGCTTGTTTGCACGGATGTGAAATCCGCTTTTATAATTTTTAATTAACCGAGGTAACTGGAGCGGGGATTGAAGCGGCACTAGGCACGGTAGAAAGTGATGTCTTTGCACGCGTCTTCGGTACGGTACTATGTCTGTTACTTTACTAACGGTTCAGTTATATCACCTGAAAGTTGTTAGTTTTCACTGTGGAAATGCAACGCGATATTGTGGCACGTTTGTTTACCTCTAGTAACGTGACGCAGATGATGAAGAAGGGCGGTGGACAGCAAGTATACCTTTCCTGGTAGTACTTTCGGTCCCGCTCCTCCGGGAGCATCTCCATCGCTACAAGATGCACCATTCTGCAAAATGAGACAGACAGTATTAATATACAATACTTGTCTAATTTACAATCTTTTTAGAAACGTACAGAACTTTATTTAATGATTTGGCACAAGAAAATGTCGTTAAAGTCGCAATCTTTTACACAATTTACTATTATCTAAATGTTTTTTCGTCTCGTCTGGCCCGATTATATCCCAAAGCCTAGCCTAAGCACTAGATCATATTATGATATTAAACAGTTTACCTGTATTTTGTGTGTTGGACCATATTTTACTGATTTTATATTCCTATTTCAAAACCTTATAGGAAGCAATCAATCACTCAGCTTTCACTTCATTCTGTTCTTTATAAAAGCAATTTATTAAACGGTTTTTATTGTACGAAAGCACACCACATGTCAATGTGACACGACAAGTAATCATAAAATATTTTTAGCGGCGGCAATCGACTTTTATTTAAGCCGTTTTTATAGAAACACAATACTGGATAATTTTGTTTCACTATAATTTTTATTAGTCTTGCATACAGTTACATTTTACTGGTAATTTATAAGTTCGACATCGATAAAGGATTTATATTTTCTGGAAGATGACAGACGAGTCACGGCATACTCGATTTATTTAAAAATTTGTTAAACAGATTTAGTAAATCCATCTCAATGGTTTATACAATATGGAATTTTGTGGATTAAAGATTTAGAAACTAAATTATCTGATTTACCATGTTCTATTAATATGTGCAGAACATGTATATAGCATAAGTAAGAATATATTGCTTAGACAAATATATGACATTACCTGGCGAATAACGTGGGATCCTCAAGGATTAGATGGAAGTCGTTCTCGGAGCTGACCTCACGATCGCGTTGGTGCACAGCACATCTATAGCTGCGGGTGCGCTTTCCGCTCATCTGTAACGACGAAGAAAATACCGTAAGTCACAATCATAATAATTTTAAATTATTAATTTGAAGCCTCTTGCACACTCACCTACAGTTATTTTCACTGTATTAACATTTTTAAATATAAATAAGTACTAACTCGAATTCAGCCGATGACTTTTCTTATCTATTCAAGTACATTATTGCATAGGGCCTAGCCTATTATGAGGCTTTTATCTATATTAATAGATTGATTAACATCGTTTTTGAATGCTAATCACATTTATAACCTTGTGTTACCTTGATTCGCTACAGTCAACCGTATCGGAATCGTGTTTGATTCCCTTGGTTCATTTTATTCCTGGATATTTAGGCTTGTATCCAAGTTTCTTCTGTGATAATGCTTAAACGCGTTTCCTTCGAGTATAGAAAGTTAAGAAAGATGTTTGTGTTTATCACCGATTTTAAAAAGTGCACCTCTCGAAGAGATTAACCAAATTAACCATTTATTAACGTTATCGCATTGGTTTTCATACTGCAAATGTTAGCTGCTATTTAAAAACTGATAGTTCGCTAATTTTAAAACCGAATAAAAAAAGAGAAGATTTTCAATTCGGCTGTTTTTTATTTGTTACCTCAGAACTTTGACATCAACCGCTTTGGAAATTCTTTTTTTTTGGGAGAGTATACTTCCCGTTTTGTCCCATTTAAATTTGAAAACAAATGGTCGCTAAGGGTGGAAAATTGAGGAATTAACAATACAGTTTATTACAATTTATCGTGATATAGGATGTTACATTGAAGTCGGTGATACTTTGCAGGTACAGTAGGTTACACAGTAGGTACAGTGTAAGTACTCAATGCATGTTATATGAACTCTTTGACACTGCTACTTCGATTTATTTTATTGATATACTAGCTGAGACCCGCGGTGTTACCCGCGTTTGTTGTTATAACCGCGGGCAACGCCGCGGGGCGAAGCTAGTCTAAAAAAAGTAGCCTAAGTTACTCCTTATGTCATCAGCTATCTGCCAGTGAAAGTCCCGTCGAAATCGGTCCAGCCGTTCCAGAGATTACCCGGAACAAACAGACAGACAGACAAAAATTGTAAAAAATGTTATTTTGGCATATGTACCGTGTGAACATACATATGCATTTAGTATAAAGCGGTTATTTTAATATTACAAACAGACACTCCAATTTTATTTATTTGCATAGATTTAACTTCGTCTGTGACGAACAATTATAATAAATGGCCCACTACTATCTGGGAATGTTATCACATTTGAAATAGTGTAATAATTCATTAACTAGGTAAAGTGATTTCGGTGATGTGGATATTGCTAGTATATTTTCAATTTTCAAACATTCAAAATTCACATTCTTTCAATACAATGAGATGTACTTTATGTACATACCTTGCCCCCTTGGATCACGGCGCAATATTTTATAACCCTCCTCCACGAACATTCTGCGTTAATGACAGATTTTTGAAGACTGTTTTTATGCCTTAGGCATGCTTTATCTATACTAATATTATAAAGCTGAAGAGTTTGTTTGTTTGTTTGTTTGTTTGAACGCGCTAATCTCAGGAACTACTGGTCCGATGTAAAAAATTCTTTCAGTGTTAGATAGCCCATTTATCGAGGAAGGCTATAGGCTATATTATTATATCATCACGCTAAGACCAATAGGAGCGGAGCACCAATGAAGAATGTTTAAAAAACGGAGAAAATTTATTACTATTGAGAGACGCAGACGAAGTTGCGCAGGTCAGCTAGTAGATAAATAAGTTTCGTATAATTATGTTTGTAGGCGAGCCATTTTTCGATCCCGTCATGACAATAAATCATAACCTCGTGGTTCCCTCGTAGAATCACAATCAGTTTATTACCTGAGGTAATTTTGTTAAAGCTCCACATACAGTTTGGTGCGAATGAATCGCTTAATTTTTTCATGTAGTACTTAGTGAGATAGATATGCATATAATACGCAATGAGACTCTTCATAATGTATGTCTAAGGCTTTTTTTTTACAATTTTTTTTTGTAATTTTTGTTCATGAAAGAAAGTCCACTCCTTTGTAACTAATTTAGATGTTTTTTAAGACAACTTCCGCACTAGAATTATATTCTGTGTCGCGGGGGACTTTACAGATATACATGAAACGGAACAAAGAACACCTACACTCAGAACAACAATTTGTGGATCACACGAAGTGTTGTTTCATGTGGGGACCGAACCTACAACACTCAGCGGAGTAGGAAACGAAGAGGTGACCGCTTAAACCACTACGCCATCAGTGCAGTCATATGTATCTTATGTTATTTTATTTATTTAAAAATATTTTTTTTGGAGGATTTTTATGACATTTTGAATATTATCTGACGTTCAACGAGTTTCCATAAAATTCTTTCACAAAATGACTTCTTATTTTCTGTTTATCTATTCTGTATTAAAAGTAACAAAATTAAAAAATTGCCTTAACTGTTGGCATGTAGCGTAAAAAGTGTGTTTAAAATGATAGAAGTGGGTTTTTTATATCTGGCTGGAGTAACATATATGTAGTATTTGATCTTTCTCGGTCTACATGTCTTAATAGGTGACCCTTAGTTATTCATTGTTTTATCTACTTCTTCCTTGATACTGTAAGATACATACTATTGTGCATATGTATGTATATGTGTAAGTAGTAACTAAACATAAACTTTGCTTTTACTCTTTTGTATACGTAAATCAATATTTGATATTTATCTATCATTCATTGGTATTGCAAAGTGTTAGCTCTGATGTATTGTGAAATCGTGTTCTAATGCAATTTCCATGTTTATGGTATTCTTAATACAATATTCATTTTAGGCGCTAAATCTTTTTAAAAGATGTGTGACTTCCACTTTACAATGGCGAGGGTGTATTTATGTGTCGCGGCGCTGGCGGCTGGCTCGCGGCCAGCGCTTATCGACCCCGCTGCCCTGCCGAATCCCCGCGCGTCGCACTTGAGACATATAATGTGCTTACATTTAAACGTGTCGCTAAATGTGATCCAACTTCGTTACCAACGCGAAAATTGGTACAAATTCCCGGATACGGTTTTTGCACTAAGCCGCATAACTCTATGACTGTGTCTACGTCAATTATTCGAATATACTCACTAAATACACGTAATTATAGTTAATTATTATCTTCATTAATCAGGTGAGTACCTAACACCTCAAAGTAGGTAAAATTGACTTTTTCCCACGTTCGCTTTCTTTTACAGTTTGTAAAGCATTCAGAATAAATCAACGTAGCATTTCGCTTAGCCAGAAGATAGGCAAGAAGACGTTATGCGAGAGCGGGGCGGCGGCATGGGCGCTCGGCGCGGGTGGGCGGTGGTTCGCCGGTGAACGACTGGTCGCGATACCAGACAGCCGCATTGTCTCCGCAGTCGTTCAACTTAGTTTCCCACGAGACTGCGAAATGTCCAATGCCAAAACCCAAATACAAATAGCCTAGACGCGTAGCAGACACAGCTAAATCTGTCTCGGCAAGAGCATTAGAAGACTGTGCGTGTAAGATTGTCCGCAGCCATTGTCAAGATAGCGTTACGCTTGTAAACTCGTCAAGCCGATTTAATAGTAGCAATAAAATGTGTTTTGTTTTTTAACGAACTTACCTTATCTGAAAAGAAACCTACGAAAAAGGTTGTCTATGTAGATGTTTAAATATTGTAATTTTTTATCTTTTACTTAACATAATAGTGTAATATTATCAAATTTAGATTGTTGTAGTTTGTTATTTTCGCATTTTCTGTGATGCCGAACGAACTTAATTGATATTATGAATAGTAGGATCTCCAGAACTTGATCGTTGGCGCAAACATGGTTTAATTCCTATAATCCACAATAATGTATATAAGTACGGTACGTAAAAAGTTTTACAAAATAATTAGGTTTAATAGTTTTCACGTAGTGGCTTGGGCGCCAGTGGGCGCAGTGGCAGAGCGGTGTGGGCGCCGCGTGAGTCACGCCGACATCCGACACGTCCGATCCGTATCCGGAACCACTAACTAGGCACCTATTGCTGTTGCCAGTCAAACCAGCGCACGAGCCTACGCGACACAAAACTCATTTCAATAAATCACATCAACGTACATACAAATAAGTCTAATTATATGTTATGAATGGCATGGCATAAAGGCTTTGGCAAACCTAGCACTCGATTCAATTTGTACATTAGATTCAGAAGAATTATAACGAAAAAATATCTACTTGGTAGGCCTTACGTATTTAAAAGCTTAACAAGACGTATTTTCACAATTGCATGGGTTAAAACATTTTCCATAGGCGCAGATGTATTGGATGGTGACTTATGAACTCCTACGCTGCATAGAATTATTGTGGTTGTATGAATGGAAGTACGATTGGTTTCTTGTGTGGTTCATTCACTTTATAAATATTCAGAAATCAGATTGTATTCTTAATAATTTCAATTCTTATTTGTACTCAATTAAAAAACAATTTGTAGGTTGTACATTATATTCCATTGATACTCTCTGAAACAAATGTATTCAAGATTTGTGAATCAATTGTATTTAATTTGAAAAGTAAAACACCTATGTTTTGGCACACAGGTTCTTTTTGTTACCTGAGCCTTTTATACCCCAAAAGGGGTAACATGAGGGGTTTATATACCCAAAAGTAAAATGATTAAAAAGTTAAAGAAAATTGCAAGAACGAACTTTCGATATAAATGCTTTATAAGCATATATTGAGTATTATGTTAATATCAGACACTGATGAAATTATGTTTTGAAGAAGGTAAACAGATATAATCCACTGCAAACTTTTTGAAGTGAATTAACACCATTGTATTGGGATTTTTATCTAAATCTAGCACATTAATGTAAGATTTGGTATGGTAGAGCGATGTGCCCGGCACGTGAACTCTGGGAGCGTTCCCACGCACCCACCTCCGCACTATTATGTTCTAATCTCTTGTAGACTCCTTCCATTATTACGAAGCCGTGAAAGTACGCTATTCGCCTTGCAAGTGGGAAGGCTAATAAATGTACATTGCGGAATTTGACTACAGAGAAAGATAGAAAAAGAAAATATGTGCTTTATAAAATCATGAGCCACGTGCCGACTCAAAATATTATTGATACCTGGTATGTTGGCTTACATAAATTAGTTCTAGCGGTGACTGGCACCATACCCAGCCCGGTGCGTACCCGCGATTTCCTGTTGGAACTTCCGGTCGCTGGCCGTGGATGTAGATACTATAGATGTGACTATTTTATTTCCATTTGATTTGAATCAATCAATAGATGTTTATTTACATTTATTTAAATGTTAAATTTCGCTACATTTTGTTGTTGTCAATGAGTTTGCGCCCTTGAGAAATACTACTCCGTACGACGCACTCGCTTATCCTGGTTGACATGTTTAAACATGTCACCTAACTGCTTGGTATTCTTATTACAGGCTGGTATTGTTACGGTCACTTTTAATTTACTATTGATTGACGTCGTTCTAGTTCTTAGTTTCTAATCATAAATATAATTCAGCAAATTGTTGTATAGTTCAAAGCGATTGATTCGCAGTAAAATGACTCTGCTGCTTCTGCTCTTCTATCTCAGCAGACATGTAAACGCTTTGGAAATAAGTATAATGAGTATATTAGTTACATTAAATCACTACAAATAAAAGCAATCTACCTATCACAATTAGAAGTGATGCTTTTTTATTTTTTATAGGTCAAATACCTACATAAACTAAAAACTAAAATAAAAAAATAAAATTGATGGTAAAATATTAATTAAATATTAATATATAATAGGTACTGGGAAATGCCGTGATTTCATCTCAATCTAATAGTTGGTATGAACGGTGCTTATATATCGCTATTAGGTTATTTTAAAGAGAATTCTTTTTTAAATATACTTATAAAGCATATTATGCTTTGTTAAAATTAATACACCATACAAATCGGATATCAAATCAATTTCTTTAGTAGCTTCCTCTCTATTTATCCGAAAATCGTGCGACACTGATCATTTCGTATAAAATGTAACGGAGAAATGTATTTTTTATTACGATTTTGAAATGGCTTAATTTAGGTTATAAAACCGAAGGTTCCTTGATTATTTTTACAAGTTAATCGCAAGATCACTACATTTTATGTTGTCATATTACATTTGTAATGTTCTTATAACAAAAGTTTACAGTTATAAGTAAAGAACTTACGAGTAGTAAGTTAATTACAGTAGAACCATGTTTTTTTAATTGTTCTCAAAACCCAATAGAGGTATTTTATTATTGCAAAATAGCGCCCACTAAGCATGCGTAGGTATATCCATTGTTAGGCACCACTACCTACGGTAAATAATTATTGCTAAATATACTTAGTTATATATTATAATTTGTAATACTACAATTCATTTTTTTGCCTTATTATTTTAATTACCCTCACGATTATTTTTCAAGTCTCTGCTTAAATGGTCGTACACAGTTTTTCGACTTTTTCTTAGACAAAATTCACTATATTACTTTCTGCGCACATGCGATTACGTTTTGATTATAATTAAATATATGTATTGCATGTACACATGCAATATATTATGTTCTTAATATTAATTTGATTAATGTTTAAATCGAAGATAATTCTGTGTTCCTGGAAGTTCCCATCATAAATCAGACTAATATATAATGTATATAGTAGATCTATATTTTTTTAAATTCTAATGATTGTTTTTTTTTGACGTTTGGTGAGACTACAATGTTTCAAAGCTTTTTGTTAATACTCAGTAATACTTTTTTTTTATAAAAAAACAAGTAATAAGCGTAATTTCTTTACACCGCGTATATCTCTTGAGGTATTCTATTTGTCAATTTGAAATAAGGAAAGTCATGGATCAAAACCGTTTAGTTGGTGTATTATGTTACGAGTTCAAAATAATTTTAATAAATAAATGATTCACCTAAAGACTTAATCAATTTTCCCTAATAAGCAAATTTAATTTTTTCAATTATTTATTTCCAGTTTTGCTTAGTTTCTTAATTATTTATCCAAACGGTTAATTTCATTCATCACTTAAGTAATATTGTAAACATAACCTATAAATAAATCAATATACCAGAATATTACAATAATGGCCCAATCAGTTGTAGAATGAAAAAATTAAAAAAGAACAGAAAGTCTATGTGATGTTTTTTTTTGGTTTTATTTTAAACTTACCCATCATTTACTTGATGTAATGAACTCCACTTGAAAACAACACTTATAAAGTAAGCTTTATATAAATTAAGCATTCACCACACAAATAGTCACAGTTACTTTATTTTTCGAGGTAGAATAGTTTATTTTATGTAGATACCGGCAACGATACTAAACACGCGTGTAAATCAGCTGAGCTGAGAGCGCGGAGCGACGCGAACTACTCTCAACAGCGCTCCCTACAGACTGAATTGACGTTTCGGTCGAAACCGTTTGTCGCCGTTGCGTTTCGTTTTCGTCGGGCTAGGTGTCGACTCGACTGCACAGATGATTTTTTTCGCTACATGGTCATAGGTGTATTAGGTGGTGGTTTGGTAAGCGTACCACCGTGGGACTCCATAAAGGATGTTTTTATTTCCGAATGTTTATATTATTTTATTCTGTTTAACTTATTTTCCCTTTATGATCCTTGGTTGTTTGGTTCTATTAAATAAGCAACTTTGCCTTACCTTATTTTTTTGTTATTTTTAGGTATGCAATTAATGAAGTTGTGTCAAACATCTGTAATTATTCTAGCATAAAGCTCACAATCAGTTTTTAAATACAGTATTGTGTTTATAATATCCAGACCATATTATTTTTGGTAACTTAAAGATAAAAACTTTATGGTGGGTATGTAAATGTTGTAGACGGATTTCTTCTTCTTCTTCATAAATGGCAAACTGTGCCGATGTCGACAATTCTGCCAGTGTCAAGTGCGATGGAAATACGTGGGTTTTATTACACAAAAAATTGAATTGATGATATTAATTGTAGACTGAATGTGGGGCTTTTTGTTGTGGTTAGTATTTACACTGAAACAAGCAGACAAGTACAAATAGATAAGATATGTTTTAAATAAATAAATAGGTAACTAATAAGGAAACAATCACAAAAAAATAAAAATCCAATATTCATAGAAATGAAGGTCAAAGTCTGATGTCATTGGATCGGATGAACAACATCAAGACCTGGAGAAGGTGGGGGGAAGAAAATGTTAGGAGAGATGAGAAGTTGATAGGGATGGGGATTTTTAGTTCGGTAAGGTGAGAATAGAGATCTAGGGATGGGATATTTTTAGGACAACTGAAGAATATGTGATCTAGATTGCCTTCATCTAAGCCACATTCACATAAGGACGAATCCCGTACCCGAATCTTGTTCAGGAACACAGGTGAGCTGCAGTGACCTATGCGGAGCCTACATATGGTGGAGATGACAGGTTTACATACCTTCTTAAATTTATAGAACCAGGGTTT